CGCTCACATAAAGCACACCACTTCTCTGGATCTACCACACCACTATCCTTACCGGCCAGTGGCCCCAAGTCTTGCGGGTTAGGGAGGATTTTAATCGCAGCCGGAGGAGGGGGAGGAGGCGCGATAGCTGCCTTGGGCTTCATTGGGGATAAGGGACGAGGTGTGTCGTCTTCATTAGCGCTGGTAGGAACCGATAAGCTCTTAAAGCTCTCCCTTGACTTGTCGGATGCTTGATCACCTGCTGTGGTCTTGCTTTGCTCGTTCTGGGATCCGAACATGTTAGTGCATGTAAGAATATCGTGACCGCCGGTCTCGCAAATCTCGCACCAGAGCGTGCTAGTCTCGGTAACGGACGAATATGCATCACTCTCGGGCATTGTGTCAAGAGTTTTCACACGCTTGTGAGTGGCTTCGGGCGAGTGTGTGTCGCGCGAGGGAACTACAGTTCCCTTGGAATCGCGATACGATGATCGATTGGCGCTGCTAATAGTAGTGGAGCTAACACGGTTCATCGATGCACCGGCGCGTCTGAGAGACTCGATCTCACGCTCAAGCTCCTCTTCTCGGTGGCTCTTGTTGTCGATAAGACCGCGCAATTCGTATACTTCCCGCTCCAATTTTTCCCTCGTCGAGCGGTTATCGATCGAATTCGGCCGGGAATTTATCAGGGAATTATTACGCTGTGGTTGAGTAGGCGTCTTTTCCGAAGAATCTGAGGCGGGAATAGAGTCCCTACTGAGGGAATGGATAATAGCCTTGAGACCTCTGATCTCATCTTCCTTTTGTTCTAGCTCCTTAGACATGGATAATTTATCTTCTCCGCTATTACCCCCATTCAAAGCCGCAGCGGCTTTCTCACGTTCTCTTCGTAATTCTGTCCTTGTCCTTTCGACCTCTCCTCGCAAGAACTCTACTTCGCCACGTGCTTCCGCTTCTCCTCGACGAGCATCTTCTAGGCCTTCCTCAAGCTCCTGAACTAACTCTTCAAGCTGCTTAAGCTGGCGTGCAACACTATCGACATCCTCGTGTCGCTCCTGTGCTTCGCGGAGCTCTTGTTCCAACTCGCGGATTTTAGCATCATAAACCCTCTGAGTTTCGGTGCTGGCCATCTCGAGGGTATCGATAGTGCTGCGAAAATCTGCTCGGTGTGTATCAAACTCGGCGGTGAGTGTGGCGATTTTCTCGTTCTTCTCCCTAAGCATCATTCGAAGCTGCGAACTATCCTTGTCGTCCAAGCTACCTGCTCTCATCCTCCCGGTATCTGACTGATCTATCAGCATCGTAAGCTCGGAGAGACTACTCTCCATCTCAGCCAGAGTAGATGCTTGATCCTTCAATTGCCGGTCTCGGTCTTCGAGTTGGTTTCTGAGTCGTTCGATTTCCTCCTCGTTCAGGTGAGCAGCCCGTGATGCAGGGCGCTTAAATGATAGTGATGATACCGATCCGATACTCCCGTTGGTCTTAGGATGCAAGCCCACAGGCGTAGTTTCTTCCTCGTCGTAACTGAAAATCGGCCCCATAGCCGACGCGCTTCTAGGGAGTATGCTTGGCTTCTTATCCAGTCTCAACGTCTTGTTCGGATCCCCAGGAACGCCTCGCATACTTGCTCCAAGCTTAGGGACAGAAGGGGTTCCATAGCGAGAGGGCGCCCTCGGGCCTGGTGTCGCTGTCATCGGTCGGGGCGCCGGGGTTAATGTTAACTTGCGGATGGGCGATTCCGGACGTGGTAAAGATGGTCTATTTCGTTTGCCTTGGGGGCTTGGAGCTCTGGTTGGGCCGAGAGACTTGCTAAAGCTCGGCAGCGAGGGTGTCGGAGGTGTATAGTTCGTAGCATTCTGACCGGCGACCCTTAATCCAGGGGTGGGAGGAAGGGAACTTGAAGGCGTAGGGGGCGAGTCGCGTTGCTTAAAGAGTTTATGGATTGGTACGAAGATGCCAGAGCCAGGGGTCGAAGTAATAAAGTAGGATATACTGCAAAGTGTTGGTAAGTAAAGAACAGATCAATACGGATAGAAATGAAACAGAGTAAACATAAATGCGGATAGATAAGACGGGTAGATAAAAGAGAATGTTAAGATTTACCCATCAACATCGCCGCTATTCTTGCCGCGTATAGCGTACTCGGGATGTAGCTCAACACCAACAAAGGTACCTTTCCTTCCAGCAACTGTGCCTACAAAGCGAACAGTTCCAGTCATATTTCCAGGGACCTCGACATGATCACCCAAGTCGAAGCCATCGTTGGCGCCGGCGCTCTTTCCTGGCGTAAAAGGGGGCATTTTGTGTGTTGAATCGGTGAGGACAGTATCTATGGCGTAGCTCTCGCTATCATCAGGAATTGAAGCTAATGAGCCAGGGGTCAGTGCGGCAAATGAAGCTTTGCGCGCAAGAGCGCCCGAGCTGGGAATAAGTCTCGAATGTGCAGAATAAACGCTATTGAGGTTCGGTGTAGAAGCGGTAGCGATTCCAGATTTTCTAGGGGACCGAGACAGAGTGTGTTGTCTCTGCTGCTGCGGTAAAGAGAGAGTTGTCGAAGCCATAGTGGACAAAGACTCCCCTTCCCACTCTTTATTACACTCCTTGGTGTGTAGTAGTTGTTATTTTTTTTACCCGCTATTGATTTTTGGAGCGGGGACCTTCAGCTTTCGTCCAATCCAATAATCTCACTGGCTCCCGACTCTCCCACTGAATCTCACTAATGGGGGGGAACTTAGGGGCACTCCTATAAAAAGCCCACTAAAACAATAGGTGGTAATAGGTGGTAGTGGGCTTCTGGATAGCCGTTACCGTCGCGTGGGAGAGAGAAAACTGATTTTAACCAATGATTCGTAGCGGAAACCTAACAAGCTTGGTGCACTAAGACCTAGAAAAGATTAGCTGCTAATAACAGAAAAATGTACGAAAGTACGAAAGTACAGTGGTCCATAGCAACCCAAAATAATAAAATAAAAAGAACATATTAGGATTTGCAAATACCAGAAAGCAACCACAACTGACCCAAGTTGTCTGAGTTTAGGTGTAATTGAAATATTGAAATACGAAATATAATAAAGAGTCTGACCACTCCGGTAATCTCGAGACCTGGACAATCTTTAATAGGTATATGAATAACTCAGGGAATCCGTATATCGGAAACACAACATTGAAGCTGTAAGATCCTGAAGAAAACAAAACAAAACATACATACATTCATTACCTTAGGTAGGTATATGTATCAAGTAGGAATATGTATGTTCGATGATCACCTACCGTTCAATGTGGGTTAGGCCGTGGCTAGGGTCGACATACATGTACCTAATGTACTTATTTGTAGTGACTCCTGGGGTTTTAGATCCGTTACGATGACGATTCCTTATCAAATAGCGACGGTGACGGCAGTAGTGTATGTAGCGATAGTGGTGAAGATCATTCAAGATAAGTATTAAAGAGTAAAGCTTGCGATTACTAATTCCTAATAACTAGTGTACCTACCTATATATCATAGATATTCGGCACCCTCCAAATCTATCACAGGCACAATATGAAGCTTACATAGTGTATATACTGCGCTCGAATTCTATGGGGGTTTCAGCTATAAACAAAAACCAAAGCTATACCAATAATATCTTAGGACCAACATGCGCTCGGGCGATGAGACCTATCGTTTTCGGAAGCTCCTTTGACGCAGCGATACAGCAACCCCGTTAATACTCTTGTCTATTTCAACCGACTCATTCCTAATTTAATCTACGCTACCGTAGCTATGGAGACTTTTCTGCAGCATTACGCGCTGCGGCAAACGAGCATATGCAGGACGGCGTGCATCATTGGCTTATACTAGATTAGCCAGATGAGGGGTCATAAGCTCTGTTTGTTTACAATGGCAACCTATCAATGATACAGTGATAACAACGCTACGTCGAAATAATACAGCCAAGAGATTGAGATTTAATTTAGTGAATTAGAAATTCAACATGTCATTACAGTACCTAAGGTAGAAGTAAATTATTACTCAAAAAGTTACTTACGTCCGGGTATTTAATAACAATACGTGCCGAAACCTCTAGCCTATGAGCTTAATGACCTTGCGTCACTTTTATTAGGGTCTGATCCCAAGCCATGCTAGTGGGCTCGGAAGCTAATATAGCTCCAACATGCAGTTTAGCAGTTTAACGGTCTGAGAGTTTAAAACACTTCAGTGCAGGTAGCTTCACACGTGGTTATCGACACCGTGATACCCGAGATTGAGGCCATCAAATAAGCTTTCTATTACCTAGGTACCTACCTCTATTACATTTAAAGACTAGAGCAAAATGGGTTATGTTAGCAACAATGTGTTATCACTTCTTAGATGTACCCAATTTAGACATTGTCCTGGATGAATACATAGTATGTATTAAAGTACCACGTTGTTAGAAAACAGGTTCGTCATATTAAGATAGGCCCAAACTGAAGGTTATATTTAGACATCTTAATCAAAGGCATGCCTCGATATACGACGTCAAGTATGCTACACGACTCGGAAAGGGTTCCGTGTATTATCATAACTACCTAAGGTATCTCATTAAGCAAGTTCATCTGCCTATAAGGATCCTAGCCTCAGAATCATTGAAGTTACTTGAACCGCTCCCAACCTAAAAACACAGTAGTGAGATATCGAATATGCATACTAGAAAGTAGATTATATTAGTAAGAATATCAAACCCAAGAGATAAATAATTCTTACATTACTGGGAGGCTTTCGCATGAATGTGTTGCGCAATGACAAGACCTCCAACAGGCTCTGATTGAGTTGAAGGTAATCTTGGTGTAAAGTTGACTTGACTAAGTCTTCCATCCTTCAAGAAAATATTACCATCCGAAAATATTGCCATAACAGCCATTAAAGTTTCTGCAGGGCCGATGACTTCTCATGTAACAGACGCAAGTTTTCAATCCAGGAGTCTAGTGACGTTTTGAGTGTCTGAAGTCATCCGTTGGACCTGAATGATAACGACTCAGTAGTAAAGAGCAGATCACGCTTAACTGTTAGAGTCGTGCTCCCGCTCAATAATATCGCTTCGTCCCAGTGAGTGTGTCCCGTCATTCAATACCATAGCCTCTCGATGTCTTCTGCGTAATCGCTGCTCTTCAGCACTCTGGCCATTCACTCGAGGAACAAGTTCGGCCTGCAACGCATCGTCTTGGTCGTCTTCGTTCATGTCGACTTCTAAAACAACTTTAATGCGATTCGACCTGTCCCGCTTCGACCTCCTTGACTTAGGAGTCAACTTTGCCTTCTGTAAGGCAGTGCGACCCGCCTTGGTTGTTTTTAGGTGGAAGCAAATATCACTAATCCGATTCTTTCTTCGATCCAAGTACATGGCAAAATTATTCTGCCTTTCTTCCTCGCCCTCCCCCCATGGTTGCCTTGCCAGCCACTTCGCAACAAAACCGGCCTCGATTAATTTGTCAACGCCGTATCTGTGAACTAGCTGAGAAACCAGCATGAGACAGCGCCGCTCGCCAATGTCCCGAAGGTAGTATTCATCATACAAAGGGTCGTCAAGCTTTTCATGTTTTACATCGTCAACGGATAGCTCTAGTGATCTTACTAGGGCACTGTATGCTCTTCGAGTATTGAGCATGTTGAAGGGCTCCTGGTAAGTTTCTTCTATATACGAAATTAGGGAACTATTCGTGCAGAATCTGGGGGTCCTCGAATACATACTGTCCTCCATAGCAAAAGCGAGCGCTCTCAAAGCCTCCATACGTTCATCATAGTCCTCTCGAGTGATGCCCCATAGAAGGCTATAGATTGTAGAGGCATCATTTACAGCTCGTCCAGCAATTATCTTCAAAGCCGTATCACGTATTGCAAAGTTATAGTGACCGAGAAGGCTCTCTAAAGTCTCTGATCTGAGAGAATCTTCAGTTTCTTGGGTGATGTACTGGGTCTTCGGTGGCGTTGGTTTGATTTCAGCTTCATCTCGGTAATGTTCTAGAATTGTTCTCATGCCGATGAGGAAGCCCACAGTAGCCAGACCAAGACCAACGGTAGCAATCCGCTCATCTCTAAGAAAGGAGGGGAACCCCATTTTGTATAATTTATTGAATTCCCATAACAATGGTGACCATTCGTAGCTCGTAAAAAGGCATGGGAAAATGATAGTAGTTTGCATTTAAGAATGGAAGGGTAGATTGAGTGAAGAGGTAGGTACTAATATTCACTGATATGTAACTGCGAAGTACGCCTTATCGATAACTATGACAGGCATTGGTGGATCTTGAATGGGTCCAGGGATCGACGGCTCAGCAGCTGCAGCAAATATGTATAGTGGGGCGATAAGATAAGGGACCTAGCTGCAACAAAAAAAAGTCGAATTGAAAACTTATAATTTACAAGTACTCATCGTCTCAGATCACAGCGTACCGTCATCTACGCCCAGGAGTTTTACGATGGCGGGTTCTCAACTTAAAAGGCTAAAGGCCTCTTTGAGGGAGAAAGGCGTTATTGGCCCTCAATTATCCAAAAAGCAGAGAAAGAAAAATGCGCAGGATGGAAAGGCAAATAACAACCGAAGATATCAAAAAGCAGCAGAGCTGGAGGGCATACGAGAAGAATTCAATCCCTTTGATCTAAAACATAATGCCCGCGGTCCCAAGTTCCAAGTCACTACGAATAGGCCAGCAGCTAGCAATGCTGCTAAGGGAAGGCCCAGTGAAGCAAAGTCTCTCGGCGAGGAAAGGGTGAGTTTATATATTGAGCGAGATGTTGCGCATATTTCCCAACTAACAAGCCACTATAGCGACGTCAAACTCTTCTTGTTGAACTCAACCGGCGCCATAAAGTAGGAGGTATACTCGATCGACGATTTGGAGAGAATGACCCGCATATGGCACCCGAGGAAAAGATGCGAGAAAGATTCGTGAGGGAGAAACAGATTCATAAGAGTTCCGTTTTTGACCTCGAAGATAACGAACCTAGCGAGGGCTTAACTCATTTTGGGAAGTCATTGTCATTTGATGGTCCTAGTTTGGTAGATGACTTTGAGGAAGATGACCTCTCAGCCGGATCTGACGTAGCTACCTCGGACGACGAGCATCGTGGCTCGAAGCGTATGCGGCCTTTCGATGACGAAGCCCAGGACGATGCCGGGGAAGAAGGACAACCGGAAAGGAAGAAGTCAAAACAAGAAGTCATGAAAGAAGTCATTGCGAAGTCAAAATTCTACAAGGCCGAACGACAGGCAGCCAAAGATGCCGACGAGGATCTACGCGAAGAACTCAACATGGAGCTCCCAGCACTTCATGATTTATTGTTCAACAGAAAAAAGGCGACAGATAGCACAATCGCTAACGAAGGAGAATCTGCTGCTGCAGGCAAGGAGAGGATGGAACGTGATTACGACTTGAGACTCCGACAATTAGCACAAGACAGAAGAGCACAGCCGACAGATCGGACCAAAACTGATGAGGAAAGGGCTGAGGAAGAATCGAAGAAGCTTAGAGAGCTCGAAGAGAAAAGACTTAAGAGGATGCGTGGAGAAGAAGTTAGTGATGAAGAAGATGAGGAGGACGTCGATAATGACCAGTCAGACGGTCAACCAACAAACGGCCCAATTTTATTCACAGAAACAGAGGAAGATGATTTTAAATTAGGGAAAGGGATAAGAACCCGGCCGACGGCGACGGAACTCGGATTCGATGATGAAGACGACTTCATAATCGAAGAGAACTTAATAGCCGATGATTCGGATCTAGAGCCCATCGAAAGCGATGCATCGTCCGATGATGATTCGAATGCTGAGGAGGAGGATGATGAATTTACGAAAGGGCTACTGAACGACGAAGAAACACAAAACCCGGTGTTTAGCGGTCAACTTACGGGCTCTGCAGTACCAACTGACACCAAACAAGATTCAAATGGACTACCTTACACTTTTCCCTGCCCGCAGACTCTAGAAGAGTTTATCGACTTAACACGGGGGATCTCTATACAACATCTACCAACAGTCGTACAAAGAATCAGGGCATTGTATCACCCAAAATTGGATAGTGGCAATAAACCAAAACTTGCCAACTTTGTGGCGGTCCTCGTTCAGTATTTAGCATATTCATCCAACCAGGCGAAGCTGCCGCCATTTTCTATGCTTGAAAGCCTTATCCGACACATCCACTCCCTCACAAAGTCTTTTCCAGTTGAGTCTGCAAATGAGTTTCGCTCACAGCTCGAAAACTTTGGCCACTCACGGCCGCTTACCCCGAATCTTGGTGACTTGGTGATTCTGACTGCGATCGGAACCACCTTTCCCACGTCGGATCACTTCCATCAAGTGACGACCCCAGCCGGGCTGCTTATCGCGCGAAATCTTGAGAGAGTTCCGAAACAAGTTGCGGATTACGTTCAAGGAGTATATTTATCCACCTTGGCTCTTCAGTATCAACGGGTTTCAAAACGTTATGTGCCTGAGGCGATGAACTTCTGTCTCAATACGCTATGTGCTTTAGCACCAGAGAAAGCTGAAGGTGCTTTAGGGCAATTCCCAGTTCATGATCCTATGTCAGGGATTCGCATCACTGGTGCTCAGTCTCTCACAGTAAGGAAGCTAACCCCCACGGACTGTATCAAAGATGATATCTCCGATGAGGAGGCCCTCTCAACAAAGCTTGCAATACTTACCACCACTTTCGGTCTATTAGACGCAGCGGCAGATCTTTACAGTGGAAAGTCCGCTTTTTTCGAAACATTTGAGCCGGCCAAGAATGTTCTCGCTCATCTAGGTAGCAAGTCGTGCAAAGCCAAATTTCCAACTGCTCTAAATGACCAGATTAAGAAACTCCAATCCAAACTAGATAAGATGCTCAAGCTAGCTCATATGGCGCGACGGCCCTTAGAGCTCCATCACCATCGACCCCTCCCCATCAAATCAGCCATTCCCAAATTCGAAGACTCGTTCGATCCCAATAAGCACTACGACCCCGATCGCGACAGAGCCGAGCTATCCAAGCTAAGGGCCGAACACAAGAAGGAGCGCAAGGGCGCCATGAGAGAGCTGCGGAAGGATGCCAACTTCATGGCTCGCGAACAGCTCAGGGTCAAGAAGGCCAAGGATGCTGCGTACGAGAAGAAGTACAAGAGACTGGTGGCGGAGATCCAAGGCGAGGAAGGCAGGGAGGCTAACGCGTACGAGAGGGAGAAGCAGATGCGGAAACGCGCAGCGAAGAGATAAGGTGGCGGTTAGTGCTATGGGTTAGGGGTATATTATTAATAGCACTTACAATGAATGTTAAATTTAAGTGTTTGCAACTCTGCTGGTTTACGAGCGAGTTGTTCAGTAATCAAATAATAACCTATGGGCTAAAATATTAGGTGTTGGAGTTATTCTCGAAGCTTACGAGCTACAAGTCCCCAATGAAACCTCGTATTACGTGAATCCTTCGCGTATCTTAAAAGCTGGGAGCATGCCAAGATTTGAGCACGTCAGCCATTCTGTCGGATGTTAAGTGTGCATATTTAACGGGCCGTTACATATATCTAGGTACATAGCTAGAACGGGATGGTAAAATAAAATAAAAAAGCTTGTTCGAGATCCTTTCGGCGGATCCACTTGATTGCCGCTCAGGAGTGATGGAGATTACTGTATTGGGCAATTTCGTGGTATATTGCGGCTCTTAGTTATTATGGGGTATGTGTATGTTCTATATTAACTACTTACTAAGGTAGGTACCTCGGTTGAGTGGTTAAGGAGAGGCATACATACATAGGAGATTGGTTTGTGGGGTTATTTGGGTTTGGCTTGATATTATCTATGGCGAATGTTTAGGATGTTGGATATGATATCTTGAGAAGTCTATAGGCGAGTATAGAGATTTCTATCTGTTATTTGTCGTAGTGAAGTTAGATTGTTAGTCGTATGATTGTTCGGCTAGGGATATGTTAAATCTTCTGAGTATACGTAGGCGGCTTTGGTGGTGAGATGTTTTTTTTTTTGGTTAGCCAACCTGTAACGGCTTCACGCTGTTGATTTTTTTAAGTTTATTATCTCTCTTGTTTTTATGTTATTCTACTAAGTGAGTAGTTTACTAGACATGCTGGTATCGCACATATATTTCTTTAACGTCTATAAGTTTTAATAAATTCGTAATCGCGTATAATGGGGCTGCCCCCTATGGCCTTAGAGGCGGTATTTATATCATATCTTTTTCAAAGTACATGGCCCCCTTATGGTATACATTGATAGATTGCTCAGAATCTTGTAGTATTCCTCCGTTATATCAAGGCTCTGCCTTAATTTTAATGTAGTGGTCCTGCTTGGTTTTCGAGGAGATCCGCAAGGCGAAATGCTGCTCTCGATGCTTTTGTGTTGATCGGACCGGGCGATGTAGTTGGGGTATACAACACATTTTCGTCCTTGTCTTTGCTCTGATCCCCCTCTGGTGTCTATATAAATTCATTATCCTCCTTAGTGCCCCAACGCCTGTGTCTGCCCATGCTATACATCCAGAGTTGCCCCCCCAGTCTATTGGTAATGCTATACGGCACGTTGGTGATATCCCTATATAGAGTGTACCTCTGCGAGGAAACAGCTCATTTTTTAACATAACCCAAATATACGTCCAATAAATTGTATCTGCGCCATTTGGTCTTTTCGTTATATAAATATGCTCCTTGAGGTGTTTCGACCAAAGCGTGCCTGTCATTGAGGATGATTTGCTCGTCGTGTCTTTTTGGCGCTACTTATTTATTTGATGAAAAGTAAGTCGGCGTACGTGCGTATAAAGGTAAGGCGATATATATCAACAGGCTTGTTTAGTCTGTCAATACCAGACATCTCGGCGGCACGGTTTTGGGGTTTTCATCGACTACAGTAGTCGGGTTAGTGGTCGTAGTCCGTATGAAACGGATCTAGCGACGACCGCTTGGAATAGGTGATCCAGAAACTTGTCGCATGCTCTGGTATTTCCGAAAGTCGGTGTTCACAAATTGTGCTAGTTACTAAGTAAGCATATAGTCTCATTACCATTGGGTTACGAAGGTATTATGGATTGCTTACCTGTTGATGGAGGCGTAGCTTGACAGGTTGGATACCTGAAGTCCATATTTTGATGGCTTGACCTATTCTGTGCTAAACTCCTTCTTTTCTGTATCATGGCTAAAATTTGCTGTTGTTGAATATGGCTATATCCAGCAAATCTCTCAAGCTCCACCAACACATCGTCTTCAAGAGAGGCGACCCATAATTGTCTCTGAGTTTCATCATTATTATAAATTGGGTTAGATGAACTTGGAATATTCCGGGGTTGTGCTAATTGGTTATGACGGTGTTGCGGTGCGAAGTTGTTTGCAACGAGCAAAGGATCCAATGGAATAGGAGGCACTGAAGGCGTTGAAGGTGCCGACGTGAGAGATTGTATAGTGAATTGAACTGGGTTCCCTAGAGAATTATCTCCAACTTCGGTAGGGATAAAAGAGTGCGCATATTCGTTACTGGTAGGAAACGTATTGTCCGGCTGATTGAATGAATTCATCCAACCCTCATACGCGTCGTGGCTGTAATTTGGAACTGCTGAAGATATGGAGGGACTTCCAGCGGCCCATTGAGCCACGGCGGGCACCTGAAGCGCCCCTGGAACAGGGCTACCCGAGGCTTGTCTATCTTGAAAGGTCCACGAGCCGTTGTATCCATCTGTCTCATCGGACACTGAACTCATTGAATCTGTTTGAGAATCAGATTTCAATATCTCGTCAAGTAATGCTAACTTTTGCTTGCGTTTCTCTCCTGAAGCCTAGCGTCAGCGAGATATTTTGCGACGAAGCTGACGACGGGTTAACTTACGATATGCACGAGACGCGATTCTATTCTGCTCTTTGCGCACGTCACTATTTCTCTTCTTAGGTTGTTTTGTTCGGGTAGATGAAGCAAGAGTTGTATTCGTGCTAGCCTTATCCATGGCGCCAGCAATGTATAACTTGAGTCAGTGACTTGAATGTTAAACAAAAGTTGATCTTTTGAATTTGAAGTTTCGAGAAACTCTTTTTGATGTCTAAGCAAGGAAATGCGGGAATGAAGAGAGAGTCATTATATAAGATGGAGTTAGGAGATAGATGTCTTGTTAACTAAGTAGACGTGGGATACGAACAGCCCTATCACGATTAATCTTTTTGAGTCGGTACCAATGTAAGAGTATATCGATCTCCCAAACCCGTCTTGATTCCACCGCTAAAGTGGCTTTCTCTTTTTAGGGTAACTATGTACCTTTTCTTAGAGGCAAAAGCTTCGATGTGGACCGCTGTCTAAAATTCGGATTTTATGAATACCAGGCATGACAAGCATATGTAGAACGCTACCAGTAATGCAATCTTGCTGTCATCTTGCTGGCTCGATACGACTTCATCGCGTAAGCCGATTGGCAAGAAAACCAATTGAATATCATATGCTTCTATTTGTTTGGTTAATGGTTAACCTCGAAAAAAGTCCCCCCATTCTCTCCCTCCCCCCCTCTCAAAGAATCATAGTCACATCGTTTCCTAGGTGAAATTTAGATGGCTCGATAACACGCGAGGCTGAAAATAGAACATACCCCGAGATCTTCAAGGGTCAGGGTCTACTACGAGCCCTATAATTGGTTACCCTTAGTCATCGTGTTACCAAGCATTAACTATCTATGTAACCCAGGTAGTTTCCAGGGTCCGCCAATAAAACATAAGCATAGATTTTTTCGAGAAGCTCAATTCGGTAGCCATCGCTCACCTCAGCACCTACTTATGCATCATGTACATCTTTAAATGATTGATTAGTATGGACTGTCTCATGTGGTCAGGCTTTTCCTTACAATGCTCACTACCTCTATCAAGCGCAATATCGATCATCATAGCGTCCTGCCTTGTAAGGCTCATGGTAATTCTACTGAAACTTTTCAGCTTGAACGGCAACAGCAACGGTTTAGGGAATTCATATTCCTAATAGCTTCACGATAACCTTCATTACATATTTATTAGTTAGACACTAGATGATTATTGAGATAGTTAAATATAGTATAAATAGAAAGACCATACTAAAATTAGCATTTAACTTTAGCTGCATATAGACAAGTGAATGATAAGGTTTAACTAGTTTAAAATTTATACGCTTCTAAACCTTTACCGCCTTTAATACCTAAGTTTAAAAGAGAAATTCTTCCACTTACCTAATATAGTTACTATTATCACATGTGCATGTGATAAAATAGTAGTCCCATGGGTTTTACATTATCTATATAGCAAACATATTCAGTAGCTAACCTAATAAAGCAAGTGTTTAGGTGTTGTTTTTGTCTATTGTTTAACGGACCAATCTCTGTTCAACGGGAGCTGAGGACGGGAACGTAGGTACCTAAGTTCCAGGCGGTCAGGGTTTACTGGCCCACTTAAACCCGCCCGCACAAGCCCGCTATGTAGGTACATAAGGATTCATCAGCTTGCAGCCCTATTCTATTCCTGCCGTACGCATCCATCACGATTGCTAGTGGCTAAGCTCTTTGAAATGACGACATGCGCCGCATCTATTTGAACTATAATTGTTTTACTCGAGCATCACCGAAATTTAAATTCTAAATAGAATGAGGAATGTTTAAGATAATAATTGGAAGTCATCGAATTAGGTATTAGCCAACCTTCTTAGGGAATCTCACGCATGCGTCTATTGTGTAACTTTATACCTATAATAGCAATAGCAACGATAGTAGTAGGGGTTGTTCTTTTACATACCTCCCCTGTTAGTGTGCGGAAACGCTAGCTTTTAATAAATTGATGCTAAAAGTTATATTATTGGACAAGAGTATACGAACAGATAGTTTATGGGGTTTGATCTAGATGTGAGGAGAATTTGCTCCTGTTTTTGCCTTGTCTGTTTAATGGAATATTATGTACCCAAACAGGTATCGTGGGCAACCTCCATGTATAATCGATTCAGCTGACCCAGTTGCAGACCACGTAAGTTTAGTAGGGCTAGGAGACAGATTTGATATCTTACTACATAAGTATTTCCCGTTACATTTCCACCAATGAAGCAAGTCGAATTGAATAGGCAGTACAAATCTACTCGGCATACGTCAGAGCCTTCTCGGTGTCTGACCTATCCTGTCAAATGTGCATAAGAGAATAGCGTAATCATTCTAACTTAGTGAAAATCGAACAGACCTATTATAATTAATAGTACATATGTATACTTAATATAGGTATATATATGCGGATGCCAGCCAAGTTATTTCCCCTTCCCTTTCCTGTGAAAGAGCCTATGTGTTATATTTGAGTCTTATGATCTGTAATTCGATAGATGAAAAGGCTGCTAATTTTTTCAATAGCACGATTATATCGGTCGGGAGAATTACAAGAGCGAGTGTTACAGCCACGGTGACAACACTTTCGTCTTACCTCTTCGAACCGTGACGAATTCAAGTCGACACTACGTACGGATGGTAGATGCGGGTGAAGATAATTGCCTTACTTGAATGGCCAATCAATGTTGATTAGTGTTCACTTAGGCCTCGGTGGATATAAAGAGCCTAAGCTGCCTAATGGTAATAAGGCTATGGAAAGATGATGCCCTGGAGAAATCTGCCAAATGCCACAAAGATGCCGAGGTCGGTCCTGTGGTCTGTTCCGCCCTTGTCAGCCTAAGTTCTGACATCGCCTAACTAGGTACCTATGTAGTTACGTAGTATAGTCGTCATACAGTCAAATGTCTTCGAGTTATAAAAGTACAACGCAATAGTTATGTATTAAGCTTCTTCGTAGAATATCATATCAATCCGGTTACAAAAACAAAGCCAGCGGAGTTTCATATTTTAACTAGGTTAGTTACATGTAACAGGTACGTAGGTAAAGGAATTTTAACTTGGAGAAATCTTAGCCTAACAGCCTAGACACATAACCCATACAAGTTATGTAGCATTGAGTGCTATGGAGTCCGTGTAACCCCCTCCACATTGCATGCAGCACAATCCAAATTGAAATCCGAAAAGAGCAAAGCAGTGGGTCCAAGATGAGGTAGCCCAAAGTATATTTGAGGCTGAGTTATAACAAATCTCACCTATTTTGTACAGGTAACTCCTCACTCCAGCCTCATGACTACTAGATAGTACTTTGAGCCGAAGCCACGATTCTATCGGATTCTACGAAGAAACGGTGGCGCGCTAAGGAAAAATCTCAGCCTCGAAATGCGCGAAAGTTGCGGTTGGAACTTACGCAGAGGGGAGAGAGAGATGGAGATAAAAAGAATATCCTTTAAAGTTGCTTGCTAATCGGTAATGAATTTTATGGTCACCTCTCAATCTTCCATCGCTGCATCTCTTTTACTCTTCTGTTTTCCTCGTCCATAAAGTGTACGTATGTACCTAAATTTTTAAGTACCTAAAACAGGTATTTTATTGGTTACAGTACATACATTTAGGACATTGCCTTAACCTAGGACATTTAGGTTAGGTACGGAAACAGAGCCTTCTCGAATCGGAGCGGCAGCCTACTTTCAGCAGGAACGCAGCCAGAACCTTCCAGCAACTCCGAACCCAGGTACCTACCATCCAGAGCAATCCACCAATCCACCAATCTACCAATCTTGTGAACTGCAAGTACACCATAACTTGTCAATCCTGTCAATCCCGTACCGAAACAAACCCATACACGAAGACGTTCACCAATCTATCTATCAACTCATTTACTCCCGCTTATTTCTTTTGATTCTCGTACTTTGTAAGTTCTCAAGTTCTTAGTTCTTAATTCTTATTCCTTATCAACTTCGAATCGCCTAGATATTTCCTCTCTTATCATATCTCACCCCTCTGTTTAAAAACTCGCAACCAACTGATCCGCGCATTTGTGGGGCGCTATCTGACTGTTTTTACCTCTTCACATCTTTACAAATAATACAAGACTCGCTTTTTGACCTTTGAATATCTTCAAGCCAAAGTTTAGAGTCGCATTTTGAACTAACATTATTTGATACTTAAGATCCTACCTAATTAGACCGGTTATCTTCTACGTGCGGAACTTCCCCTTCAAGAATTCTCTCGTCCGACCTACAATTCGGACGACAATATGGTCAAGGAGACAAAGTTCTATGATGCGCTTGGCGTAAGTCTTACTCTTTACACAATATATAATAGGCGTTAAGAGAACATGAACTGATCCTCCTTTGTCCAGGTTTCGCCAACAGCAACAGAGGCAGAATTAAAGAAGGCATACAAGACAGGAGCTTTGAAATGGCACCCTGGTAAGTTTTGGTTAAGATGCACCAAATATATTATAAATCTAGTATATTAATCTTAGCTTTATAGATAAGAATGCCCACAACCCCGGGGCCGAGGAAAAGTTCAAGGAGATCTCACACGCTTACGAAATTCTGTCCGACCCCCAGAAGCGTCAAGTATACGACCAATATGGTGAAGCCGGCCTCGAGGGAGGTGCGGGAGGCGGCGGTATGGCTGCCGAGGATCTCTTCGCACAGTTCTTCGGCTCAGGCTCATTCGGCGGTGGTCTTGGCGGCATGTTCAGCGGGATGGGTGGCGGACCCCGTGGTCCGCCTAAGGCGCGCACTATCCACCACACACACAAGGTATCCCTGGAAGATATTTACCGGGGTAAGATCTCTAAGCTAGCCTTACAACGATCCGTCATTTGCCCTAAGTGCGAGGGTCGCGGTGGTAAGGAAGGTGCTGTTCGACGCTGCCCCGGCTGTGATGGTCACGGTATGAAGACTATGATGCGACAAATGGGTCCCATGATCCAACGTTTCCAAACTGTCTGTCCCGATTGCAATGGAGAGGGCGAGATTATTAAGGAGAAGGACCGCTGTAAGTCATGCAATGGCAAGAAGACTATCGTCGACAGGAAAGTACTTCACGTTCACGTCGACCGTGGTGTTAGAAGTGGCACGAAAGTCGAGTTCAAGGGTGAAGGTGACCAAGCCCCTGGTGTCCAGGCTGGAGATGTCGTCTTCGAGATTGAACAGAAGCCACACCCCCGGTTCACTCGGAAGGAAGACGATCTACTCTATCGTGCTGAGATCGAGCTCGTCACAGCCCTAGCTGGTGGTACGATCTTTATTGAACATCTGGACGACAGATGGCTGAGTGTCGAGATCCAACCCGGCGAGGCCATTGCACAAGGTATGTACATCCCTAGTATTATTTACTTTTTTCATTTAAACCCGGCACTAATCAATTCCTGCAGATGCTGTCAAGATGTTGAGAGGACAAGGTATGCCTTCCCACAGGCATCACGATTACGGTAACATGTACATACAATTCTCCGTCAAGTTCCCCGAACGTAACTGGACAGATGATCCTGCCGCCTTCGAAGGTCTGCGCAAAATCCTTCCTGCTCCAACTCTCCAGAATATTCCTCCTGCGGACGCTATGACGGACGGTGTGGAACTGGAAGATTTGGACAACCAAGGACAGGCCCGAGCATTTGGTGGCGGTGCAGGAGGCATGGATGAGGAGGATGAAGACGGTCACCCACACGCCGAACGCGTGCAATGCGCATCTCAATAGATAGTATATCTGACGGGGGAGATTATTAGCTCGGTTGTGGGGTAGGTACTGCACAGTATTTCGTGCCTCGCATAATTTGCCTATATTCCTACACTATCAGGGATTCCTTTCTGGTTGAGTTGGTAGAGAGGGAGAGCTTATTTACGGCGTAGCGTTTCTGTGGTTCAGGACACAAATGATTTGCATGTCAAGGGCGAGCGCGGAAGGAGAGGAGTCTGCTATACGAATGATATGAACAAGGGTCCGCTATTCTGGTAGGAGGGCAAGGTTCACTTTTTTCTCTGCAGCTCTCCTTTTTTTTATTATCATCATCGATTACACCGAGCATTATCCCGCACGTGATGCTCTTGCGAAATTGGCGTTCGACGGAAATAGAGAGAGGAATCAGGACAGACGTGCTTTATACATGATTGCAATACCGGTATTGATTTCATTGGAAACAATTATGTCCCCAACTACAGTGACGTAACAGTGTTTATGGCCTTTGCTAACGTGTCTTATTAACTTATACGATACGACTCGTCACGACTTAACTGTTGTATTATTTCCTACTTCCCTAACCTAGAGAAGTTGTAAATATTTAACGTACAGGTTCAGTAGAGTTAGGGTGCAGCAGAGCCTCCTTCAACATCGTCCGTAAACTCGGTCTTCCGCAGGTGTTCGACCGTATATAGAATAGTCTCCAACTCCTTCCGCGAAACATCTAGATTTCCCTCGGCGATATCCTGAATGCCCCCTTTCTGAACCCAATTTCCTGTCTCGTCTCGCTCGAAGAGCAGAAGAGACTGGGTTGGTTCTGCCACTGTCATGGGGGTATCTCCCTCTGTTTGTGTCGTGCTGTCGTCGGTAGTTGGCTGCGGGGGATCAGTTGCGACGACTAATTTAAGAGAGCTTTCTGGCCTGGTGGTGATGAGAGCGTTTAGGGGGCTGTTTTGTAAACGTAATGTCTGCACGTGGTTGAGAGTATTGTCTGGGAGGACTTCGAATGTGAAGATTGCCGGGACGCTGTTTGTGGTGTTAGATTCCGTAGATGATAGATAGGCTAAAATGGGAGAGAATCAAATAGCGAAAAAAATAAAAAAATTTCGGGAGAGGGGGAAGGGACTTACTGCTCGCAAATAGCTAATATGAAGCATCTCTCGTCTACATCGTACGAAAGTAACTGCGACACGGCGACTTGCTCCGCGCTAGGCACTATCTCCTTAATATGGGGAAGGAGGTCCGTCTTGCCGAGTAACTGAGCGGCCTTCCAATTCCACACGAACAGCTCGTCGTCCCCGCCCCCCGAGACCAGGACTTCCGGGCGAGAGGCAGGTACACAGAGGGCATTGAGGAAAGCCTCGTGGCCGAGACAATAGTTCTCGACGACGTGCGCCTGGGGGATGCCGCGCGAGACGCGGATGTGCTCGTCGCGGTCGGCCGTGATGATGTAGGGCCTGCCGTCCGCAGTGGCCAGGACCAGGGCCGTCAGCATCGAGACGTGGCCTAGGATCGGCTCGTACTTGGACGCCGGGGGAACGTCTTTGGCGGGTTCGCCTTTGCGGCTGGCTAGGATGCGCTCTTGCTCTTCTAGGGCGCGCAGGTTGCGCTGGGAGTGCACGGTTAGTCGGTTAGCTGCGGGCTTGAAAGATGGAGCTGGGGCGGGCGCGCTGGAGGGCGTGCTGGGGGTGCTGGGTGCCTCGGGGGGTGTGGCGGTTGGGATCAGAGGTAGTGAGTAGACGTCTCCGAATTTGTCTGCGGATAGGATTGTAGTCCCGTCCGGGGTGATGGCGATGGAGCTGGGACGCTTGGGCATGACTCTGTGTATCCAGTGAGACTTGTTTTCCCAGAATAGTTAGATAGGATTATCCTACCTTTGACTTATTTCCTTAAGCTCGCCCTTCCCGTCATGTTCGAATACCCAAAGCGTCTTATCTTGGCCAGTTACGGCGACTAAATATCTCCCATCTTCCGTTGCTGTCATGAGAGCTACGAACGGGATTTCCGGCCCCTGAACACGAGAATCGGGCTTATGCTTCTTTTTCCCATTCCCATTTGCCGTCGTTTCTACTGCGCCCGTGTCAGCTTGACTAGTACCCTCCTCAGCGCCGGGCTTCTTGTCTTCATTCAGCTTGCGCTTTTTCGATGGGCGCTGACCACTCTCTTGCTCATTGAGTTCTTGACCTTCCTGACTGGTTTCCTGAGGTTCGCCGCTGCTGGCTTGCTTTGTGAGGGGGTGAGTCCATGATGAGAGAAATGAGTTGCCGGCCTCGAGGTCGAATGTGTGGATGCTGGCTCCCTTGGCAGCGCAGAGGATGGAGCTTTGTCCAAGTCTGCTTAGATATTGGTATGGCAGATTCATGGTGTTGTGAGTTGATGCGATCCAATTGATGCTGATACCATGCGCTCCCAACAAAGTTTTCTTAGAGCTTAATTTGTTGTAATTTTCACTGATTATTCGTTAGATTAGGTTATAAGTAGATTTGTTTAAATTGAAAGTTGGTTTGTAGTTTTTACTCACTTTAGATTGAGCTTCAAGATCTTAAGTTGAAAATTCCGATATATACGGTTTATTGCATAATTGATGTGAAGCTCTAAAATTCAGTGGGTAATATGCATCTATACAGATAATTGCTATCAGATGTACGGATTAGTTTGTCCCTCGATGGTTGTTTCAGCCTTTATTTGTGGCGCAACTTATGCAATTTATGCCAACTAGATAGGTAACTTAGCGTCGCGCAAGTTCCGGGAGTGGGCAACACTTTACGTACCATCTTACATCTTATCCGTTCCGTTGTCTTACAGATCTCACGATAGCTTTGAAGACAGTTCAACATTAATTACGTATTTAACAATCTACTTATAATTGACAACCACGATTAACCAAGAAAATCACTATTATCCTACTATCTTTCTCGCTTCTATTATTAGTCTCATTGGGTTAGGAATTCCGACGGACCTGTCCTATAGATACTGACAAGCTCCCGAATGCAATAGAGTCCGTGCAAAGAACCGCCTAATCTAGTTGATAAACTCACGAAAACTATACAATTCCATTCTCGCCCATCATGGCGCAGCTTCTCCTTGACTTCGTATACTCGTTCGGCAATTGTTTAAATTGCTTCCCCGGATCGCCAACCCTCAAGATTAATAGCCGTTCGTTTAAGATACTACGCTTGCTAGGAGAAGGTGGTTTCAGCTATGTATATCTCGTACAAGACACAGCAACCGCGGAGCTCTTCGCGCTCAAGAAGATCCGATGTCCATTCGGCGCCGAGTCAGTCCAGCAAGCGATGCGAGAAGTCGAGGCCTACAAGACATTCTCCCACACGCCCAATATCATCCACAGCGTCGACTATTCCATTGCAAGCGAACGAAACGATGCAGACGCAAAGACGGTATACGTATTGTTGCCATATTACAGACGAGGCAACCTACAAGATATTATCAATGCGAACTTAGTAAATCACACCAAATTTCCCGAACATGAACTTATGCGCCTCTTCCTGGGCATATGTAAAGCCCTCAAGTACATGCATCAATACCGGGGCCCAGCAGGTGGAGAGCGTATGGAGGCTGGCAATGCAAAAGCTGGCGAAGAAGATGGAGGAGGAAGAAGCGGTAAGGGAAGACGAAACAAGGCCGTCGCGGCAGCAGATGTGGACGATGAGACAGAACAGGCAAGGCCTTTAATGGTAAACGAACAAGTTGCAGCGCCTGGTGAGCGGAGATCTTACGCGCATAGAGATATCAAGCCAGGTAAAACCCACTTAAAGTCAAAGCTTGCGCCGAAATTTATACTAACTGGGCATTGAAGGTAATATCATGATTGATGACTCGGGCTCACAACCTATTATTATGGATCTGGGCTCTATCTCGGAATCACCGATACCCATCACAACGCGCTCGCTCGCTATTGCTCAACAGGACATAGCCGCAGAGCACAGCACGATGCCTTATCGGGCGCCTGAACTCTTTGATGTGAAGACGGGGACGGTCATTGACACCAAGGTTGATATTTGGTCACTAGGCTGTACCTTGTATGCATGTTTAGTTGGCAAATCGCCTTTTGAAATGCGTAGCGATGAGACAGGTGGTAGTCTTAGCATGTGTGTGCTAGGAGGGGACTGGCGATTTCCAGACGAGAGTCCAAGAGGCCAGAAGAAAGGAAAGGCCCCGGCTGGTGCAGGCACAGAAGAGGGGGTTATTAGCGAGCCGATTAAGGAGGTGGTCAGGAAATGTCTGAAGGTTGAGCCCAACGAACGGCCGGATATCGAGGAGTTAATAGATATAGTGGAAGAGGTTATTGATGAGCTACCTGAGGATGACGCATAAATGATGAGGTTTGGGAAGAACTATTTTTGCTTGTGTATATTGTATACTATAACCTTCTGTATTAGGTGACTAGGGACAGGTCATGACACTTACGGTACTGCTCTGAGAGCAAATAGGTTACGCGGGTATACCCTCGACTTTAAAACTTTTACTTACCTGGATTTTACTTACCTAGATATTAAAAGTTAAGGGCTGGTTGATCTTCAGCCCTCGAGCTTATGAAAGACTCAGAGGAATGGCACGGCGCCTGTTGCATTGATGTGCTTGGGGGTTTGAGCTAACCCACTGTTTTTGAGTCCAGCCTCTCATCGAATGAGTAACTCTAAAGATGAAGGGGAATCATAGCAAAGGTCTTAGCGCTTTTGCTTTGGATATAAATTCTGGGTGCTGGAATCGTTTTATATCAACATGAGCTTTCACTATACTATCAACCTCTTTCCGATCAGATGTCTGGCCTATATCACTCGTAACAAAATGGAGTCATTAGCTGAATGCACCTGCATACTCCGTACCGCAACAACGTCTGGACTTGGATTCGAGATTTTCACACCAGAATTCCTCGGCACGTTCGCGGTGATCTTCCCCTTAGCCGCATATCCCTTCATGTTTTCAGACCGGGACCGAACCTGCCAACATGTCCTCGGTTTAACGGCCATGTTCTCCTTATTCGTCCAAATAGCCAATAACTACGCCTGGGCTATGGGCTACAATTATGCCAAGTTCTCGTCTTGGCTGCTCCCCTTGACGATATTCTCCGCGTTCGTCAGCCTCTGGAGTGGGGAAGGACATGAGGCGGATATCGACTGGCAACCGGTGCCTTTTGTCGACCCCGATGCCAAATATGTCATGCTGACATTCTACATGTTCCTGTCTCACATCTTCACAAAAGTCATTTCTCGCTTCGCACCGGCAACCTCGACAAATGACGCGTTCTATCTCCTAGCCTTAGTCTTTACCGTTTTCAGGTTCGCCAATGACATCTTCGAAGACTTCACGAAGATCACCGCCACGATATACCATCGCCTAGCAACGCGGCGCGTTCCTGGCTGGTTTTGGATCCATGCTGACGAGCCCGGCTTGTTCAGGCCTAAATGGAGCGTCGTACTTACGGTGGTTGTGGGTATATCCGCGCCGGTATTGGCGTTTTTATGGGCGTACAGCATGGGGTATGTCGTATCAATAAGTCCAGATTTTGATTTCTCTACTGGATTTGTGCCTAATTCCAACTTATCGCAATGTTATTGCACGTGGAGTAGCCTCCGTGGGGATGACGAGTATATCCTATAGGAGGGAAAAGATAGACTTGGGTTTGCTGGTCGAAGGAATAAATGTACCTATCTTATACGAATGATACCTAGGTACTTAAGTACTTAAGTACTTAAGCAGTACGATATGTGGCGGTGGTGGCTTAAATAATGTATAGGTATCTTTAAATTTGCCTAGCAACCTCTCCATTCATTGGTTGACTTCACCTTCTTAGTGAACTACCACTTACCAAGTGACGATAGACAAGTGAAAACCGGCTCCGCTTTCAAGTTTATTCTACTCTTGGCTATGTATCCCTATGCATTTAGGAACTCTATTCTTATTTAAGCACGTATTTGATTATTTCTAGAATGGTTCGCTATACGTGCTTGATGCCTCACAACTTACAAGTCCTCAACTACTAACGGCTGGCCTGCACTTGTATAAAATATAAGTTGTTAAAAATGGCATCACCAAACAATAATGCTCCCGGGGGAGAGGAGGAAGATGATGACTACATGAACATGACCTTCGGCGAGGAAGAGCCCAAAGTCACAGAAACATCTCTCCAGCGGCGACAACGGCTCAAGCGCGAGGGTGAGATCAAGGGGCGCGTCAAGTCAAAGGCCGAGCAGGCCGCAGCAGAACGCGAGGAGCGTGAGAAAGCGTTAAATGAGTCATTACTGGACAGTGCCCGGGCAAAGAAGAGCAAGGGCTTTGCTATGATGGCGAAAATGGGATTTAAGCCTGGCGTCGCACTCGGCAGCGCGGACAGCGCCGAACACGCGCGTCTGGAGCCTATACGTCCCCAGATGAAGGAAGACCGAGGCGGTATTGGCCTCGACTCGGATCGCAAGCGCGCGCTTAACGAAGCAGCAGTCCATAGCGAGAAGAGGCAGAAGGTCGATGAGACGGAGTTCCGAGACCGCGTGCGTAGGGAGCGCGAGCAGGCGAGGCTAGAGCGGCAAGTTTATGCCGCGATGAAGGTGTGCGAGCGCATGGACGAGGAAGAGCAAGGAGGCACGAAAGCGGACGGTGAAGAAGCAGAAGAGACAACGGCAAAGATGCGAAAGAAGAGGACAATATCTACGCGACCCCTAAAATCCATCCCGGTAGTCTGGCGCGGCCTAATCCGAAACCAGGAGGAAGCAGAGCGGGATCGGCGAATGCGGCACGACCTAGAGCAGAGCTCAACACGGCTTCCGACTTTCGTGGAAGACTTAGAAGATGACGATAAGACGGCGTTAGGAAAGACAGCTACGGCGTATGTCCAAGTTGAGGATCTCGAGGAGGAAGATCCGGAGCTGGATGAGTTCAATGCGCTCGAGGTTGAGGAGAGGTTAAAGAGGCTGGTAGAGTATCTTAGGAAGCAGTATAATTACTGCTTCTGGTGTAAATGCGGCTATCCGGACGAGACGATGGAAGGGTGTCCCGGGTTGACGGAGGAGGATCATGATTGAGGACGATGTTTTACCGTCTATCTTCAAACTATCCGATGCCTAGCCAGATTCTTGTCTAAGTCACAGTTGAACTTACGACATACGCCTATTTAAGGTGTCGGGGGAAATCATATGAAATGTAAAGACACTAGGATTCCAAGACCGACGATTCTTTAGGCCGATGCAGTCGGTATTCCAAGTGAGTTTATATGATAATCACAAACTGCTTATCTAATAAACTTGGAACTCATAATATTAAATAGTACCTCTACAATAACGTGGCTATTAATTAGTACGTCCTATTGCAAGAACATGACCCAGAAGGCGTATACTTCTACGCGAGGTATGACGCTACTAATCCGACGGCTAACTCTGCGGCAAGGCCGGGAGGATCTATCAGATGTGGATCCCGTGAAAAATGGGTTTTGTATTATGGGTAACTTATCATACCTAGAAACAGACACGAAACTATCTGGCAACTAGTTTTTTTCATAACTCATGACCGGCACAACTTTCTCCCTAAAGCTATATCCCATCCCGTACGTGTATGTATATGTAAGATATATACTGACAACCGAGGCCCTTAGCTATCAGACCCATCTCCTCCGTGTAATTTCCGAACTAGCACAAAGCCCTGCCATGTATGTATAATGACCGAGCTGTCGGTGTAGCGGACAATCTAGTACAGCCCCTATGTCTCCGGACGCTCCGTAACGCCCTCCCGGGAATAAACCCTCTCCTCAACACCGATGTCCTCGTTCCTTTTTTACATAGTTGTATTAGTTCCGTGGTATTCATATTCCAGTTTTATACCTAGACGTGCATAAATGAAAGTGGGATGAAGGGTGGGTGACTTTACCAAACCTCCGGCTTCTCCTTAATAAACCTGTCCATCAACTCCCTACACTCAGACGAGTCCAGCACCACGACCTCGACGCCGCGGCTCTTAAGGTACGCCTCGCCGCCTAGGAACGTCCTGTTCTCGCCGATGACCACACGGGAGATGCCGTAGAGGATGCAGGCGCCGGTGCCTACCAGCCCATTCTCAGCGGCAAGTTTCGCATAGTTATAAAAAAAAAAAAAATCAAGCCGGGTCAGTTAAACCAGACAGACAGACTTACACATATCGCACGGCGAAAGCGTCGTGTACATCGTACTCCCCTTATACGCCGACGACGGCAGACGGCCCGCGTTCTGGAGACAAGACGTCTCGCCCTAGAAGCAATATACATGTCCCGTTAGTCAGGTAATAAATATATAAATACCCCTCCCTACCCACCAATAAACAAAAAACAATAAGCACCAAACATAGAAAACATAGGTACCTATGTAACATACGTGAAGAATCGGATTTCCATTCTGAACCCTCATATTATGCCCCCGGCCCAAAACTCCGCCATCAGCAGCAATCAGCGCCGCACCGATCTACCATCTCACAACAAATATCCCAAAGGTAAGCAAAAGAGTATTCAATTCGCCTTCGAGTCCAAGTAATCACGCGGGCCCTACATACCGGGACGCCACCTTCTCGGTATCCGATCCTAGCCTCTTCGAGGGCCAAGGCAAGGCCCTTTGCGTCGTCCATTTCAACTTAGTTAGTATTCTGTCTGAGGGCGATTATAGTGTTATAATAGACTAGGAAGGACTATAGATGTGGGAATAGTAGAATAACTTATAGAGAAAATAGACATAACTACCTGACATAGTTATATCTAATAAAAACATCAATTCTATATCAGTTAGAAGCTTGATATACGTAATTGGAGATAAGCGGGAGTCTCCGCCTCACGATTATCGCTACGCATCTAAACCTAGTAGAGCCACATACAAGTTTAGTGCCCGCCTTTTACCTATCAGTCCTCAAATATCGAATTAACATAATGTAGCACACACACATATAACGACATGAGCAATACGTTCACATTGCAAACTAGGACGATTAAAACTTGAACGTCTTTAAATTATATTTGTACGATATTGGTCTGCGAGACCAATTACCTGACCTTTTGGATCGCCTCTAATTCCTAGGCCGCCTTCCTCCATTTTACACTCGGAAAAGTATTAGACAACTAATAGTCCGACCATCGAAAAGCAAATAACTGTTGTACAGGCCTTCAAAAGGGACGGAAATGCTTCCTCTTCTCGAAATCCTGGCCAGAACCCCTCTATCAACCGTGGCGCCTTTGGTATATGCCTCTACTTATACAACCGACCTTAAGTTAACGCCGAACTAGAGGAAAGAAATCCCCTATGCGAATAAATGACAAACCCCGAAACCTTGGTCCAGTCGTTTCTAACTATCACGACAGAAGGTTGCGCAGCGACGCGTTGGCGCTGGCCCCGCTTGCAGGGCGACTATCGTTGGACCTTGAAGGTATATTGTTGCTTAGACTTGGTTCACGACTCATCGAGATCCCATCTCGGGAAATCGGAGGACTCCCATGCGGATTTAAAAATGGTGATCGCGATCCAAGCATACCTTGGGAAAACGAATGCTCTGAAGTGCGGGGCGGAGGACTGCCATTCGTGAGGCCGTGGTGCGAGTTATGCGCCGAATGGTAGGATGGCATATAAGGAGAAGTGCCATTCTGAACCGGGCCAGGACCGCGTCGAGGCGGAGGTGGAGAGGGAGGGATCCCATTTACCATAGCTTGGCCAAGCCCATGCTGAAGCTGTGGTCCCTGGTGATGGGACATTGGAGCTATCGGCGGAGGCCGGAGGTCGCGGAGATGATTATGATGGATCGGGTTTGGTCCACTAGAGCCGCCATTCATCTGATGAAGGGTAGGTGGATGCTGAGGCGGGCTACGATGCCACTCTCCATAAGGAGCACTGGGAGGAGGATAATGGTGTGCAGGCACTGGTGGGCCGCCCGGAGCTACCATTGGACTCGTTCCAGCGTGGGAAGCGGTCAGCGGCAAAGGTGGAGGGACAGCTGCAGGTGGAGGATGTAACGGTGGTGCAGCGATCGCCGGGGCAACCGTAGATGTCGTTCCTTGTGCTGTAGGACCTCGTGGTCCCCACGAATTCCCTAGGTCCACGAGCCTGTTCATAGTGTGAGATACGTGTGGTGGATGATTTGTTACAGTAGTGGGAATTGAAGGAGGCAGAGCGACCCGTGTTGGTTCATTTGATGCTGGCCCGTCCGTTCTTGGCGGGTTATGGGGTGTAAGTTTTCGATTACTCCTCTTGCACTTATGACATTGGACGCTCCGCTGAGCTACAAACCTCAGCGCCTCACTGCTAAGAGAGCCGGTATATCCATTTGTCAAGACTTTTTCTTGGCCCTTGTCGATAGGCCACCACTTTGGGCTCACGTCAATGCCACAAGTTATGCAGACTTTATCGCCGCACTGAGGGTTGATGGATGCTGCATCGACCACACCATCGACCGGAGACGCTCTCTGACCTGTTGTTGCCGAACTGGAAACGTTTGTAGTGGATTGCCTCCTATTTGGGTTCGTTTGCGTTGTAACGGTAGGTGTCTTGGTGGCGGCAAGATTAGCCAGGTTCGCCTTGCGAACATTACCCGTTAGGGTAAGGTCTGCCTGCTTGTAGTTATGCACGTAGAGCTGCAGGGCGTTCGCAAGTTGTGCATCCTTGCTTTGGCTCTCAGGCTGAGGTACAGGGTCGTGCATGCGATGAACCACGCTTTTTTGAGGAATATGCTCCTTACACCAGACGGCTGCTGACATTATCCCCGTTTCTCCTCCGATAGTGACAAGATTGTGCTGATCTCGTCTGGAGCCTTTCACGGGCGTAATCTCGAAGCCAAGCAGGTACCCATTTTGATGGGCACATTCCACGTGGACTAATATGCTGTCAGCACTAGATAATTGGTCATCCAGGGAATATTATACTTACCAGGAGCGCGGCATTGATGGCAGGCTACACACGCGCCACCTTTTTGCTTGCACACCTTGCAAACTTCGTCAAATCTACTACGTGGTATCAATGGTATACCTTCTGACGGACCTAGGGCAAGGGCATTGCCGAACTTGACTTCGGGCATCCACACCGCACAAGTGACATGGACCCAATTGTTGTCTGCTGTCCTTTTTAGAGGCTCCCTAGGGTTCACGGGGCGATTCATCTCCTCTTGCTTTTTGCGATAATACTCTACGGCCTTCTGCGCGAGATCACGATCAAGGCGCTCCTTCTCCTTCTCCTTCTCGGTCTTCTTCTTGTGCGTGTTTTTCGGTGGTTCAATAAAGTCGTGTTCTGTGAATTCTACCGGGCATAGGACACATTTATAATCCTAATCGCAACCGTTAACCATAAACCCAAGGAAATGCATGAGGGCACACTTACTATGGAAACCTGAGGATTTTTATCATTCAGGCACATATCGCAGGTCCACTTGCCCGGAAGTCGATTGTCGATAACACCATAGCACTTGCGATGAACGGTGAGCCGGCACTCCTTGCAAGAGAGATGAGCTTGCTCGCCCGTCGGGGCCATCTGGTGGCATATAGCGCAAGGCAAAGTGCGAGGTTTTGGTAGTTCAGGGGCTGGGGGTGGCGGTGCGGGCTTCTCTACCGCCTTTTCTTTCTTCTTCGAATGAGTATGAGTCGAGACAACGCCGGGATCCGAGCCATTAACCTCTGCTTCTTTGTCCGCAATCGTCTTGAGTTTCTTGCGTGGTGGTGGTTCACTACCGCTAGGTTGCGGGGCAGGTGTCGCTGTCGCAGCAGGCTGTGTTGTTGATGGTGTCCCATTCGGTTTGTTGTAGACTGTCAGACTCATCATTTCGTTTGCCGCCATAATCTCCTTGAGCAGCTCCTCATCGACCCTCCGCTTCCAGGAGCGGCCACCAGCTGCTGCAACCTTCTTGGCAAGGTCCTCCATATCTTCCCACTGAATAGCATATCGCCGCCATAGCTCTGCACATCTCCTACATAATGCTCCGACATACTGTATTCCTTTGTCCTTGTTTGCATGTTTACCGCCTCCCTCTATTACTAGACCGGACGCACTGTTAGGCGCCCGGCGCCACTGTCGGGAGTTCTTGGTAGAGCAAAACTTGCATATGAAGCTCCTCTTCAGCTTGACGGCCTTTTCGGTATCAAACGCTGAATCATCCTGGTCGTCAGCAACGTCATCTTGGAGTTTATTGGCCGTCGCTTCGGCCTTCTTCGCCTCCTTCTTGCCCTTCCTGCCAGAGAAATTACCCCATATTTGTTTCCCTTTGTCAGTTTTCTTCCACGTATAGTAGAAACGGACAATTTGCGAATGCTTGACTGTTTTGATGAGTTTCGTAATGGGATAAAGTTCGGAACCAAACTTGGTCACGCCTTCTTCGAACTTTTTTAGTTCAGCGGTTGTAAGCTCGGGCTCTTTAAAAATGGACCTATCGACTTTTAACAACGCTTTTAAGGCCTTGGTTATGTCGTAGTCATTTTTGAAGAGGGTATTGATGGCTACATCTTTAAGGTTCGTCGACTCCTTTGGAAGATTGAACATAGGAACTAGTTTCGACTTGGCGGTGGCCATATAATCGTCAAGCTGGGATTCCGTAGTTGACGTTTCAACCGCATCCAGAGGTTTCCACAATAACTGCGCCGTGTTATTCGGGTCGTCATTATCGTAATCTTCCCCCCTCGCCACGTATCCTGGGGGTTCGTCCTGAATCCATCTTGGCCGCTTTTCTCGACGGGCCTTCTCCGCCTCGAGGGCTGCAAGGGCTTCCTTCGATTGCTTGCCGTCTTTCTTACCCGATTTCTTGATCTCGAGAGGTTTTACTAGCTTGACTGGACGGCCATACCAAGGAAGGACAGTTGCCTGATGCTTGGGTCCTAAGCGAGATCCGGCTCTGGGATATATGCGGTCATCGTAATCCAGTGCATCTTCAGGCTTGCAGTGTTGCCCCAGGTACCGGTAGGGCCATAAGCTCGCGTGATATATCTGCTCTGCTGTTGCAGGTTGGTGAGAGTCATCGATACCATCAGCAGGGCTCGTGCGATTAGTATCGATAGCATCCTCATCATCTTCCCAAGGCTCTTCTTCTTCTGCCTCTAGATGCGGATCAAGTAGGCTTGGCGTATGTCGGGCCTCGAGCTTTCTCTCCTGGGCACGACTGCATGCGGCGCAAGCCCAAGCAAAGCCACGTGATGGTTTTTTTAGTAGAGGCGGACGAACACAGTTCATATGATACGTCTGCTGACATACTGCACAGTCGACAGAATCGTTGCTATTTTAATCGAGTTAGCTACTCGTTGATTTTTATTGGATTTGTTAACTTGTTGCAGTTGCATTTGCAGTTGCAGGGAAACAGGGAAACAGGGGTAGAGGCCTAGAAGACCTAGAATGGAAGGAGAAAGGGGAAGTGTGGAGGGATGACATAAGCAAGCATACATACCTTGCACAATACCCACTACATCTCTTACACAGCTTAACGGCACTAGTAAATTCCTTAGACCGACCCTGCTCCACCAAAATATACTTCCAGCGCTCGTCCAACACCTTCTTAACCCTCTCAGGTACGTTGACGATCTGAAAACAAGGAATTACATCGTAATTCTTCTGAATATAACGATCGTACAGCTTCTCATACCAAAAACAGTCGGGAGTTTTTCGGTAAGTCTCCATGTCGTCAATTTCGGCCTTGTGGCGGATTTGACACTTGCCGCGCAATGCGGTTAACGGACTAATGTCCGAATGCATAGTGGCGAAGACCAGTCTGGTATCATTGACCTTTTTACCAATGTCCTTTGGTCGGTAGTACCAATTGATCCGCAACGCATCCACGCCCTTTGTAACATCATTTTGAACGTGTAAGAACTCCATGATACGTCCTAAATAATACGGTTCTCCTGGAGGTTCGCATACAAGATATACATGATCTAAATAATATAGTCAGCCAGTCGGTCAGTCAGCTAGTTTATTTAGTTAAGATGGAAGCGCAAATTATTTTCGGTTTTCGTGGGGTTGGGGTTGAATAAGTTCATACCGTTCGCTTCCAATACTGTTCCATCATCTGCCACCATCTTCCCGTCCTTCGGGATTGCACCGCATTTCTCAAAACAAAGCATATTCGTCACTTTATATCCCGCAGTATTTTGTGTAGTTGTAATAGCTGTCGCGTGTGTAGCACCTCGTTTCGTCGCGTTAGGACCAGCCGGTGCCGGGGTGCTGCCATTGCTGTGCGCATTGTTCGCGACCGATTGCGCGGGTGCCTTTCGTTTTTTGGATGAAGTAGTAGATGCCGTGGCGGACGAACCATTTGTAGTCGCGCTGCTCGTCGGATGCGAATCCTTCACTGTATTATGCGAACCATTACTAGCCTTGCCATCCTCTGGTGCTGCACCCTTGCGTGATGTCGAGTTCGCGCCTTTGGGTGCATCGCTGGTACCATTCGCAGCTGCACCGACCTGTCGCGAGGATTTTTTAGATTCTTCATCTTTTTTGTCTGCGTAAGCATCGTACATGTCCACGTCCATATCTTTGTCCTCTGCGTAGTTCGGGCGCGCTTGACCCCGATTGCGGGAACGCGTGCCGTAAGGAGATGGGCCTGACATAGCCTCCTTGCCCGACGGGTTTGACCCCGACGAGGTTGACTTCGTCATTGGTTGGGATACTGCCGCATTATCCACAGAGACCTTGTTGTTGGCGAGCTTTGGGGGTTGTGCTGGTGTAGGTGTGTTGTTGTGCGTGGAGCCGGAGTCTGTCAGGTCCTTAGTCGAAGATGACGAAGGATTGGGCTGGTCATCGGTGTCGCTGGACTTCTGCGCCATGGTGGGTGATTAAAAAGGCGGCGCATACAATGTCACACGGAGGAACGCCGAAAAGTTTACGGCGGTGCTAGTCGAGGCAGACAGTGGAAATCTGAGTCCATAAGATTGGCAATATAGGTGCAACTCTCGCAGATAGAATGTTTCAGACAGGAACTATGCTGGAGGGCGAAGATTCCATATGAGCGTTTCGCCGGTGGTACCACGGCAGGCTAGAAGACAAGGGTCCGTGGGAAGCTTACCGAATTATGTCCCACGATAGTCCTAGCTCGAGGTCTGTCAGAAAGGGAAGGGCAGGGACGAAAAAGTATGTATGGTTAAGTTGGCGAGACGAAGGTAATAAAGTTTAGGAGGGAAGATAATGAAAGAAAAGGTCAAAACGCGAAATATCTAACCGGGTACGGAAAAATGGATGGTGAGGTTTGGGAAGAAAGAAGGTGGGAGACGTGACTGGTGTGGGACGGGAAAGATGTGAAGGGTATGTAGAAGTGAAGGTTTATGTAAAGCAGGCCAAGATGGACCGGGGAGGTTTGAGGCGGCGGGACAGACCATCAAATCGGTGCCCACTACCCACACGACTAGCCGGATAGACCGCAGGCCATAGGATCATAGGATGGGTAAGGTAGACGAGCTATGTTATGTATGGGTGGATGGGGGATGGGGATGTATGAGTAGACCGGCGACTTACCAGATAGGTATGTAGTTTCTGGTACGCTTCTGGTACATACGTACATGTATTGTAGATATTGCAAGGTAGGGTTGCCAAGAGCATACGATGATCGACCTATGATATCGAGACTGTCGATACCGAATTGTGCTCTCGTGTAGGTAGGACGAGTGGCCTACTAAGAAGAATTTAAAAGGGAACTTGGGGAAAACTTATTGATGACACAGATGCTCTAACTAAGATGAGGCGGATTGTGAATCTAAACTTCGGGATCTTGGAGATTGCTGGATTTGCTGGGGTATGAAAGGCGCGGTAAGGAAAAAAAAGGTAGATAGGTAGGTTAGGTAGGTAAGTAACCTACTACTGTATGGAATGAAAAAAAAAAAAAAAGAGAGAAGGGTGACTTTTTTTGACGAACGTTGGACTAGCCAGCTACATGTACCATAATATGTACGTACATACGTGGTGCTGTGCTGCTAGGGTACCCTAAATAAAGCTAGGTGAGTAGGAAAGGTTCGCAAGGGCTGAGATATTGACTGGATGGATAGATTAGGTAGATTGGATAGATGTCTGTGTGCAGTTGCTTGTATGCATCACAGGAAGGCAAAAAAGTCAAGAGATGTAAATGCATCGAAATGCAACATCTACTAGTTTGGCAGGCCTACATGTACAATGTATGAGATAGGTTAGGTTATGTAGGCAGGTAAGTAAGGCAAGAGGTATCTATGTACTTTTTAAATCATCCATTGTACAGATGGTACAGATGCATCAATACCAAGGTGTAATGAATGGATGGATAGATGTAGTATGCACCTAAGGTAAGTAAAAAGGATGTAGGAAAAGGAAATAGGAAATCTATATGCTATGACAATGTACCTAGGTAGATTAGGTTAAGTCAAGGTATGATGGTTAACGGCAATTTTCATTGCTGGTTGTACATAGTACAATGCCGCGGGTACCATGCATTTATTTACCATCTAAATAGATTTTAATAGAGCAATGGGAAATGGTCAAGAAAGAGACGCACAAAGGCACGGGGAATATTTGACGGGGGAGGAGTTGGGATCTTCAGCCATTCAAACTCTGATATTGTACCAGCTGGGCTTATTGGCAGATGGTAGCGCCGCGGTACCGGTACCTGGAAAGGGCTAGGTAAACAAGGGTAAAATATTGGGCGTGTGTTGTACATACAACTTCCCCGACAAGGCCAGTGACAAGGCCAGTGTGTGTGGATGTCTGTGGAGTGGTACTGAGGTTAAAAAGTCTCGCCTTGGGAGCCCACGGCCCACATCCATTACCTTCACCCCTGTCAAGTCCAACCAAACTTACGCTTCCTTCTAAAGGCTGCATGCTCTATTCGACTTCATCTCATCCATCATTCTCCCATCTGAAATTATATGTTGTGTCTGCGTGCTTTTCTTTCTCGACAAAGAAGCCTGTGTATAGGGCGTATCGATATGATATTGTTCCCCGACTAGATTCTATTCCCATCTTGGTTAGATATGACATTCATTGAGATGAATCCATGGTGTCTTTTTGTTGAAAACAGTTGCATCCCCGTTTCATTTTGCCTAGCTTGCTTGCTAATATTCCGTGATGCGTTTGTACTGCTTTAACGCCCTCGCTTGAGAGCAACCCTATTTAACTAAGGAGTAAATTCTCTTTATACCAACATTGATCGTCGCCGCCTCTTCGCAGTTATTCCTCTTTTAGAGATGTTACCGCGTGTCCCGAACCGACGAGCTCACCTCATCGGGGCGACGCGCAGTTGTATGACAGGCAGCATTCCTATCACCTGTCGCACTTTTATAGGGTGGGGATCTAGCCAAGATTGGCCGCGAGTCAAGACCGCCCGTTTCCCGAGATTTTTAAACCAAAGAAAGCATGGCTATTCTCTATCTACACTTTCTATGCCAAGATATTATAGAAGCAACCAAATAAGGCGCAGTTCATTACTTACCCGTACTGTCTTATTGAATATATTACGATTCATCACAAAAAATTAGCTTCTCGTCGTCTTAAAAGCAGTTCGGCCTTAGGCTTCGAGGCGAGGCAAAGGCGAGGCAGTCAATCTGGAGAGCCTGGGCACCGCTAGCAACCGGGACAAAAACGACAGGTATTGAGCAAAAAAACCCCCACCTCGCGATCTAATGGTCCAACCAGATCACATGAGACAGGGATCCCACCCGTCACCGCTGTGCAATAGTAGAGACATACCCAAGACAACCGAGCTCACAAATCTGCAAAAAAGTACAGCAAGGTGAATTGTCCTTAGTGGAAATGTCCGCTTTACTATAAGTGTCAAAAGTTTGCTTCGCCGAATAGATATGTGTATCGACCGCTACGTAGGCTTGTTACCTCTCAATTCGTGCTCCGTATAAAAAATTACACTGTACCCCGAAACCTAACATAGCCAGATCTGAAGGGTCCTGCTTAATGTGTACTTCGATGTGGGCAATCTCTACGTAATCCAGGGTTTTAAGGGTTAGGACTGATTCTGATGCGCGGAGGAATGTTTTGGCCTCCTTGCCCCTTAAGAGAACGCCAGCCGAAATAACCTAGCATCTTCATGACGAGTAAGTGCCTCCAGATTCTGGGGCGATTCTTCAAAACAAAAGAGGCATCTCCGCTTTTCGCAACGAGATCTAGCGGTATAAAAGAGGTATCTGCTAGTCAGCAACTTGGCTTGAACCATGAAAATGGGCGTTCCCTAAGGTTTAGACGTAGAACCTGCTAACTGACTACATATCTACTAATCCAAAAGATAGGATGTGCTTACAGTCCTCATCGATATTGATCCGTAGCCTACAACGGTAACGAAAATATAAATACCTAATGATACTCTATTAGTTATTAACAAATGTAATTTCTCTCGTTGCAGCATTATTCTATACTGTTATTTGTTATACATACAAGCTCATTCGATACTCGTGAACCGGGGACTAGGGAGAGTTGGAACTTAACGGGCAAAAGCGACTAAAGGGGAGTAAAAAGATGATAGGATATTAGCCCAGATATGTCACGTATGTGGAACACTGCTTTTTGCCACCTACGCAGATAAAACCGGAAGTGAACCCACTTGAGACCAACGTAACGACAGCCATGTATCGGAGAGTAATCTGTAGGAATGAGAACACTGTCGTAATCAAAAGCTGAATAGGAAACGGTCTGAAGGTAAAATGACAAATACAATCCTATTACATAGTAGGCAGTATGTATATAAGCAAAATTACCAATCCCTATCCATTACATAGTTGGTCATCTAGTTAGGCAGTTAGCTGAGCAGTCTGACCTACGATGCCGAGATGTCGGGAGAACCAGCCTTTCCATGTGCGGGAAACAAAGTCCTAGGCTACCCTACCAACTCGTTACATTGGTACCTACCCTATGAGGTACATGTAATTAAGTCACTGAATTAAGTTGGAAGCTTGACGTTGGAGGTGACCCCGACCGCACGAGGTTCGTAAATCGGCACGGGCCACCTTAGAGACCAATCCGAGATCCATCCGTTAAAACCATCATCCAATGAAAAACATTAGGATTAGATTAATGCATGAATTCCTTTTTAGGAACGACGGCGGCAATGATTACGCGATGCCGTACCTGATTATGTCAATAGAGTGGGTCTTCGGAGGCCAGGCGCCAATTCCCGATGCCTTGGTGAGGGTCTGCGTAGGCTGTCCTTGATTGCTCTCCACTCCACTTGGCATATGCAAGGGCATTGAAGAAAAGAGCACCCTGCCTGCCACGTGACATGGCGTTGCTTTCGTGTACAACACCATTTTAACATTTAATATTTTAACGGCCCCGATTAAATCCCAACTGACATATGTTAGGTAGGTAGGTACCTACATATCATGACTGCATAGATGACTATCTCCATTTTTTGTACACTTGTCACCCTGCTTTTTCTGCCTTGCATAGCATGAATTGGAATTAGACTGTTTGCTATGTGCTTAGACTGATCAAAGGGTTACTTATCAACCAACAGTCCCGATGCATATCACAGTTTGACGGTGAAAGCCAATACATCGCAAAACTACATATTTCTTTGCTTGGCTAGGGGTGGTAGATAAATCATGGAACCACCAAGAGGTATTTTGCATAAAACGACACTTGAGTCAACTACTTTGCAGCAGAAGACATTTCATACAACTACCCTTTCAGGCAGTAAGAGATTACATGCCGATATCGCTAGTTCTGAGCAGCAGCCCCCACTGAAAAGGGCAATTCAGTTTCAAAGAGCATCAGCTGTTGACAAAGAGCTACCTGAATTAGCTGCTAGTATCATCACAAACGTTGATCCCGATTCTACTGCACACCCTTCGGAATATTCGCAGCGTCGGGCAGTACAGGCTACTCCTACGTCAATAGTCGATCGCTCCCTTTTGCTATCATTTCCACGATATGGCTTGCCTAATTCGTTGGTGAACAACTTCAAAGAGCTTGGTATCAATGAGATATATACCTGGCAAAAGCAATGTCTTCTAGGCCCAGGCCTCCTAAATGGGTCAAAGAACCTCGTCTATACGGCTCCGACAGGGGGTGGTAAGTCTCTAGTTGCTGACATTCTAATGCTAAAGAGAGTCCTCGAAGATAGCGATTCGAAAGCTTTGTTGGTGCTTCCGTATGTTGCATTAGTTCAAGAAAAGGTCCGGTGGCTACGGAACGTTGTCCAAGGTATCAAGCGCCAAGCCTTTAAGGAAGATTCGTCAGAAAAGGAGAAGAGTTCCCTTTGGCAGAAACGCTTTGATGAAGGTACTATCAGAGTTATTGGCTTCTTCGGTGGCGGAAAAGTCAGGGCGACGTGGTCAGACTTTGATATTGGGGTCTGCACTTTCGAGAAGGTCCGTCGTCTACGGCATTCATGTGACATAGATCTGATAGGAATATAGGCAAACTCTCTTCTAAATACTGCTATTGACGATTGTTCCATTACCAAGCTTCGAGCCGTAGTCCTGGATGAGCTTCATATGCTAGACGATGATCACCGTGGCTATCTTATGGAACTCATCGCTACGAAGCTTTTAAGTCTCGAGCATGAAGTTCAAATTGTTGGCATGAGCGCAACGTTGCAAAATATTGACTTATTATCACGTTGGCTAGATGCTCATATATATAGCACATTCTACCGGCCAGTACCAATCGAGGAGCATCTCGTCCATGAAGGCAAAATTTATCCAGCTTCGTCAACTGGCGGTCTCCTTAAGGCTGCCAAAGCTGCTAGCCAGCCCAGCTCAACTTCTGACGCAAGCCAGCACCAGGCTCATCCCGTGAGAATTATTCAGCCTAGCTCGCACAAAGAATTTAAGGATACAGTATTAAATTCTGTAGTCGCACTGGCAGTTGAGACAGCGAGGTCTGGCTATGGCGCTCTCGTGTTTTGTAATAGTCGTCGGTCAGTATTAAATCTCTTAACTAGATTATAGGTCTATACTTTTGTTCTTCTAATCATTCAACTATTTATTACAATTTCCTAAAACTATTGTCTTGTATAAATGCTAATATATCCACAGTATGTAACCAATCTCCTATTTATTTACTTTTAAATATCTTTCTCGTTCCTTCGAAGTAGTCGCCTAAATATGACCTCTAAGCTATGTATACTGACATGTAGAAGATGGTTGCGAATCGGATGCACGGCTTATTAGCCGTGCTCTACGTGATACCAGCTACCTAGACCCAACTATTGTCGAAGCACGACTGGATCTCTTAGCGGACCTACGTAGTCTCACTACAGGACTTGATCCTTGCCTAGCAGAAACTGTTACCTTCGGAGTTGCTTTTCACCATGCTGGCTTAACAACAGAAGAGCGAGACTTAATTGCTAGTGCTTACGATAAAGGCGTCCTGAAGGTTCTGGTGGCAACATGTAGTCTTGCTGCTGGTATCAACCTCCCAGCACGAAGAGTCATACTCCATAACGCACGGATGGGCCGGGACTTGGTTGGTCCCTCGATGCTTCGTCAGATGCGCGGCCGCGCAGGGAGAAAAGGAAAAGATGAAATCGGAGAGACTTACTTGTGCTGTCGGAAGGACGACCTGGAAGATGTCATCGAGCTTATGCGAGCCGAATTGCCGCAGATTTCTAGTGGCCTGACAACAGATAGACATCGTATTCAACGAGCGTTGTTGGAGATAATCGCTATTAGACTGGCCAATTCGAGAGACACTGTTGAGGATTACATCCAGAAAACTCTATTGAACTTGTCCTCGACACCCGATGTTATAAATACCCATGTCGAGTCTAGTTTAAGAGATTTAACTGAGATGGGGTTCCTTCATTGCGATGACTCCGATTTATATACTGCAACACAACTGGGCAAAGCAATCGTCACCTCTTCACTGGAACCGGATGATGGCGTATTTATTCATCGCGAGATGCAGCGTGCACTACGCGCTTTCGTGATGGATGGCGAAATGCGTAAGTGATACCCTTATTACTACCACCTATTCCACACTATCCTGACAGTGAAGCATGATTTCAAACTCCTGTCTATCACATTTTCACTTCTTTCAAAAACAAGAAGTCATTTAGATAAAGGAATTACTTACAAGAGTTGCAGATGTTCTATACATGTTTACGCCGGTGCATGATAATTCCATTACCATCGACTGGCGAGTCTTCAGATCGGAAATGGAAAACCTCGATGACAGCGGACTTCGTGTTATGACATTTCTAGGCCTAAAGCCGACGCAAGTAATCAAGATGTAAGTGATGAATGGCATAACGAAATTATTATACTAACTCATCACAGGGCCCAAGGTGGAAACCTCAAAGAGACGACGCCGCAAGAAAAGGAAACTGCTCGCATTTATCGTCGGTTCTACCTAGCCCTCCAACTTAGGGACCTGTGCAACGAGATGCCAATTCATGTGGTCTCACACAAGTACGACACACCACGAGGTGCGGTGCAGAACCTAGCGCAGACATGTCAGGGTTTTGCTGCCGGAAGTGAGTAACGCATCACAACACGTAAGATGTATAGTAAAGTATCACTACTAACCTTGCCCGATAAAGTGATCAAGTTCTGTGAGCAGATGGGCTGGGGGTACGTTCGATATAGAGCCTAAGGCTACTTATCACTTATTCCTATACTATAGGCAGACCTGGAGCTAATTCGCGAGTAGGGCAATGGCGGCTGTTCTCGATCACTTTTCAGACAGGCTAAACGCCGGGGCAAGGTCAGACCTCCTAGCACTAGCTAAGATCACGTTCGTCAAAAGCCGGACAGCAAGAGTATTCTACGACAATGGATTCAAGACTGTTGCAGCGATCGCGAATGCCGACCCCAAGGAGCTTGTGCCGATTCTTATACAGGTACGTGATAGGTATCATAAAAGGCTAGGTTCGCTAAAGGGGAACTGACATGAATTTTTTTTTAAAAAGGCACAACCGAGCAAAGTGAGGCTCAAGTCGAAAGACGAGGAGAAATACGAAGAGAAGCTCCTCGCCAAGGCTATGGTGATTGCAGATTCGGCAAGCAGACTGTGGCGTACGCGCATGACCCCTCATTCTGGTGCAGCACCGCAGCTAACAGGGACGCAGGAATCGAGATGCAGCAGCAGGTTTATGAAGAAGATTAGACGTGCTACCTACCCTACGTGTCTCGTGCCGTGGCTTGCATCCAGGCAGCGTGTCTGTACTACCTACTATGTACCTACACACATCACGTTCGATGAGGGTTCGTACCCGTCGCCAGCACCGTAGGGCCATACTACCTACGTCGCCAAGTATTACCTCTGAGACAAGCCGACGCCTTACGGTCTACAGCCACCGTTTTAGTTACAATGCCTTGACGGCTTGGGCCACTCATAGACGACAGACCTCTTATCAATGCGGCAAGCTGCCGCGGACTAACGCCGTCTTGGGCGATTATGTGCGCCACCTTTGGCAGGTTTGGCAAGCCTTGTTTACCTGGTACAGTTCGTCTGCAGGTAGTGTGCTTATAGTCAATATCGTGGCGGCTGCAAAAAAAAAAAAAGCAAGGGGTTATTGTGACCTTGTAGAGTGGTATAGTTAGGGGTTGACTAACTTATAGTTAGCGGAATGAATTTTTGGATTAACGCCTAAGCGGGAAATCCCGACGAAGGATCTAGGAGACCGAGCACAAGGACCGTGAAGCTTGGCAATTATATAAGGATCAACCCCTGGTTTTGTCATGTTAGATAGGTACATAGCACAATACATCGTCTTCAGAACCGTGGTGAAGTTGAAGGTACATGTAGACCTTGAAATGGATATGCGGCGGATATATGTATATGAGTAAGCGTGGTCTGTCTTGATTTGATTCCCACGAAGTCAGTTTATAATGGCATTAGCTGTGAGCGTGGAAACCGTTCTGTTTATATGCACCTATAAGCTTAGCTTTGGAACTATCTACCGTCCTTACCGGTGTGTCTGCCCTATGACTACATATCTTAGCTAAGATATACGTTTTAGCAGATATAATTTCTAGCAGATATAATTTCTCGGCCACTCTCATTCATGTAGAAGGATCATACAAGGATTAGGACTTGATAGGACTTGATAGGACTTGTATACATAGTTGCCCGCACCCGAGCTGAACACCTAGCGAGGCTGCTAAGGAGGTAAATGCCCAAGGTCATTACGATGTTGCGGTTATATTTATTATAGAAGTGCTATGGCCTTGATCTTGATAATACCTTTCCAGGCCCTAATTTACAAAAGCTCTTCAGTCAATGGTATCGTCGCGCAATCGAAGTAACTGAGGAATCACCTCATCCGGGCGCGAACGGAGGGCATTATGGTACAAGACGCTCGTCTCGAAGACCTTGATCCCCTTGATCCTAGACGCCGCGGCCCGCGACATCTCCGGATCGACGTACATATCATTATAGATGGCCGCGTACACGGGGACCTCGTTTTTACCTAATTGCTCAATGTCATAGAGCGGTGCCCAGCCGTCGAATTCAGCTAGGATCTGCGCTGTCTCCTTGAGTTTGAATAGTCCGACGCATGTATCGAAGAAGAAGGGGTAGATCATCTCGCCGGAGAAATACAGCGGCTTTTCGCCTAGGCTCGCTGGTCCGGCCCAATCCTGCCGAAGCCATTGGAATTCTTCTAGGCTCGCGCCGACCCGCTCGGCTGCCCATCTTCCGGCTACGCCTGGGCCGAAGCACCAACATGGCTCGTGAAGGAGTGAGTAGATTGGAGCTGTGTCCCATTGGTTGTCTTGTTCTAGTTCGTTCAGAGTGAAGCGAGTAAACGTGCCGTACTGATCGAGATCTGCCTTTATTCTAATGATGTAGTTGTGAACTCGGTCGACGCCGCCATGAGCACCGAAATTAAGGCCCACGGTCATTAATCGTGACACTGTTAGGAAACCGCCGCTGGGTAGGGGAATTCCCTTTTCACGACCTAATTCGCGGATCTTCTCAGCGATCCATTTGACCGTGGCGACATCATCTGGGAATTTCCTATAGTAGTCGTGATTCCGATCTATACATCTTCGAAATGTGGCTTGATAAACCTCCTCGGGACCTTTATCTAAGGCGGCAAGTCCGCCGGTGATGAAGCATTCTCTAAGACCTTCTGGTGCGAAGGAGAGATAGGTTAGGGTTGTGAAGCCACCAAACGACTGGCCAAAGGTAGACCACTTCTTCTTCTCAGGTGGGTAATCCTTCGTTAGGTAGAGGCGAACGGCTTCGCTGTCCTTGACAAGTGTGTCGGCCCTGAAGAGCTTAAGATAATCGGCTTGCTCCTGGGGACTACCGATGAGTTCTAGAATGTTATCCGAGATGGGCGTGCTGAAGCCCGTTCCTCGCTGATCTAGTAAGAGCAATTCGTAGCCTCTATCGACCATATACTTCGACAAGGGGGAATCTTGAGGTGCTGGACTTCCTAAACCAGGGCCGCCTTGGAGGAATAGCAGGTAAGGTCTTTGCACGACCTCTGATGATTCGACAATAGGTCGTTCATATTTGACAACGCTTCTTGCAAAGAGCTTAATAGTCTTCGATTTTGGATCGGAATGGTCCAAGGGGACTTCAAACCAGAGCTCTTTCACAAGCAGCTTGCCTAATACGACGTGTTAGTCGTTCTGAGGCTGGACTAATCAAATATGATATATTCACCTGGGACGAGGTATGGCTTGCTTTCGGAAACAAGACGAGCTACGACTGGAGCCATGGTTGATTGTCCAGCACGATTTCAGTCTTTGGCAAGGAATTGTTACTATGATTGGCTACGGGTCTTGTTATCACGAAGTTGTATGAAGCGGGGAAGGATCTAGATTTCAAGTTGGTAGGTGGAGCTTTTATGATTATGTCTTTGCAACGTTTGAGACTTTGAATACATATGAAATATTATGACCTTGTACGTCGTTAGTAGTACTTCTCTGATTCTATCTACCTTTTGGGGGATAATATAAACTAGTCTTAGATTTCTTGACTGGGTAGAGGTATCTTATAACTTATACATACCTAACCTAAGGTTTTAGGTATTCATTCTTAAGGGACAATTTGTTATAAGAGCTCTAAAATTCACAAGTACTCTTATGTGTAGTCTTGTACCTTTCATACCTTAGGTTTAAATACCTACCTACATATAATAAATGTCGTGTTACGCCTATTAATAGGTAGGCCTTTTAAATTATCGGTTCTTGCTGAATGGGAAAATGTAGTTAATGATATCTAGAGAAGGAAGGGAATTGTTCCTTGCAGACCCATGGCCCATGCAATTAAACAGGTTAACCATAGCAACGAGGGTACCCCCACATCCGGAATTGGAGCTAAGCAAGCTGACAAAAAAAAAACTAAAAACCAGTTCTAGCCATCGGCGTTATTCGGAACATTCTCCATTTCATCATTCCACTAGTTAACCTTAGCATCTTTTCCTTTTTTACCCCCAACAACATCTCCGAGCTTTCTTAACTCGCTCATTCGTAATCTTCTTCACTTCTTCCATGTTAGACCAGGATATGAATTGTCAAAACCTCGTACAGATCTTAATAGAATCATTTAATGCATTGGCCGATGAAGTTCAAAACTTGAGTGACAGGCAGACTGTCCTGGAGCATAAACTTCGATATGCACACGAGCAGGTATGTTAACCGTCAATCTTATAAATCCCGTCTTACTCCCTTCTTCCTTCTCCGCCCTTTATATATGATGAGAAAAATTAGCTCTAGATCAAGAGCTACCCTTACGGTAGTGTTGACCGAAATAAAAATTTTAGAAGTTACTGATATAATACGGAAAATGATATCTCTTTATTTACAATGACAAAAATTCTTTCCGAGGTTTCAGTCGCTAACTTTATCGATTCCGATAGTTCCAGTATCTAGCCGATAAATATGCTCCGACGGCGCCTGAGATTTCAGAGACGCTATTGAATCTTCAGATTCCCCCAGAGTTGCACAATCCATCCCTAGCAAACAATAGTTTTGTTCCCTTGCCTAGAAGAAAAACCTCAGATTCTAAACATCAAATTGCCGTCATCATTAGGGAAGGTAGACGTGTTGCCTCCTCCTTAACAGCTACTAGCAAGAGCAGTCGATCTAGCAGAGACAGTCTTCCCCCTACTACGATGACGACCCTTTCTACTATCCTCGAGCAGGACTTTACTATCCCGGGAAAGAAGAGCAATTTAGATTGTCCCTTCTCCCAACCCGCCAGAGAAGAGAAGCAGAATGAGGAGCCCAGTAACATACCTGACAAAACGGTGCATGATATAGAAGATCCCATCTGTGCGACCATGTATGATGACCCAAGCTCACAGCCTGCTGCTTCCAAATGCCCAATTCGATACATGGACCAGCACTCACCAGAAGAGATCGCTCACTACTTGGAGACACACAAGCACGAGTTACCAAGGAGTCACGAAGTCTGTGTGCGTAGGTATCAAAAGAATGAGGAACACATCAGGAAGCTAGATGCCAAGTATGGTAATCTTGCCAACATGGTTGAAGGTCTCAGTCGGATTCATCAACCCATGTTACCTGAACGGGACACGCGACCTCAGAGCGAGGTTGAAAAAACCTCAAACGATCGTGTCGTGAGCTGGGCTCAAACGGTGAGCGCGACGGCCTCGGATGATCCAGAGCATACTGCTTTAGAACATCATGAGGATGATCTAGATGATCTAGACAGGCAAAGCCGTTTCGACCGACCTCTTAAGGAGGTCCGAGTTGGTGAATCGCCGAGCCGCCCTTGGGGCATTTCAGTGCCCGTGTTCGATACTCCACCGGGTGTTGAAGGGTTGGGTCGACCTGAGTCACCTCCACCAGCGCCCGTTCAGATTCCTTCATCGCTGCCTCCTCAAGTGACGCCGGCAAAAACTGGAAAGTGTCCCTTCGATCACACGAAGTTGACGGATATGATGAACGGCTCTCCGCTGAAACGTGAAGATAAGAGCTCCGTTAGGTTCGGAGATATCCGGTCGAGTAGTCAAACTTCTATTCCAGCTCATGAGCCACGATTTGCAGCCAGCAATCCACGCCAGCCTACGTTCATCAATCCGGCCGAGCTGGACCGCAAGTCGGATAATAAGCCGCAGATGTTATTTACAGGCCCGGTCTTCATTGGATATCCCATCGAGGATGCGATTCGGCTCATGCAGAGCCTCCAAGGACAACAGTAATGTCTTTAGCCAAGGTGATTTCCTTCTGCCGTGTGTCATACTTGAGATCATGGTCAGACTTATTACTATTTTGTTTTTTGTTCTGTTTTAGTTTCATACGGGTTTATTATCAAGCAGGCTCAAGCAACAGACCTGGCCAGGGAGTATCTGATTTGAAGCAAGCAAGTTCGCACACACAGGGAAGGGATGGACTGCTTTTGAATGGTTGAAAGAGTATTGATGGCATGATAACGTAATGTACGAGGCGTCAGGGTTTCCTTTTCTTTTTCTTTACCTTTTACAATAGCATCAGTCGGGCGTTAGGAATGAAGAAATTAGCACGGACGATACCCTTTAAGAGCAGGAAATTGAGAAACCAGCTTTGATATCACTTAGTTCTAACACAATAAGATTCTTTTCCACAAGCAAAATCAAAATGGCCTGCCTACCTAGGTGCCTATCCCTTCTAGCTAATGCGATTCGATACCTATTCCCATCCATGTTATGCCGTACACTCCAAAATGCCAAACTTGTAACTGAACCGCCCTTTCTTATGCTCTCAACTCGCCAGACGCCTATTGTATCCCGTATTTCGTACACGAACGAATCCCGTAGTAAACTTGCAAACAGCCAACAATGCCCATCCATCTATCGATGCTCTCCGTTAGAAATCTTTCCATTCCCTTTTCCGGCAGTATCTTCTTCCTCCGAATCATCCTTATATCCTCCATCAACAGCATCCGTCTCCCACAGCGAGATATCGTCATCATCCATCAGCGCCGCCTCATCCGCCTCCCCAGCTCGCTGCCGTCTTCCTTCTTCCAAGTCTCCATACCCTAGATCTAACTCCTCGTCTAGTTCCCCATCTACCGCGACTCCGTTCTCAGCAGCCTCTTCGCGCGCAAGTTCCCTGGCACGCGCCATCGTGCGCCGGTATATAAACAGGCTGAGGGTGATCCCTACGGCGCTGCCGAGCAGCATGCTTAGGTAGTTGATAGCCTTATCGCCTGCGCTCATGGTGTCCCCGCTCTCGGCGAGTAAGGCCAGCCGGCTGCCGATGAAGACGTGCACGAGAAGCTTGGGGGAAGCCATGGCTGTGGCGAGCGCGAAGCGCCACGGCGAAATGCTGGGGATTGTGGCGAGGAATCCGTTGCTGAGACTGAACGGCAGCGGGCAGAAGCGGATAGCGGCTAGGACTAACAATCCGTCTCGGCGGAGAACTTGTCCTAGAGCGACAAATCGCTTGTCCGCGCCGACCAGCGAGTGCACGTATCCGCTGAATATCGTCCTGCTGGCGAGAAACGCGGCGGTAGACCCGAAGACAGTGGCACTGGCGACGATGGGCCAGCCGCCCGGGAACCCGTAGACGAAACCGGCGATGGTGATGCAAGTGCTATAGCCGATCATAGGCGGGAAGCCCGACGCGCACGTCATGAGAAAGACGATGACCCACCCGCCGGGCAGCGCGCGCCAGCCCTTGGCGACGGGGGCCAGGGCGGCGAAGATGCGGTGCGAGTACACGAGGAACAGGATCAGGAGGACGTTGACGACGACCACGGCGGACACGGCGACGATGCGTTGGACGAGGGTCATGCTGTAGAATAGCTTGAGCATCTTGTTGGAGAAGGATACGCTGGCGCGCATTATCCGGCGGCCGAAGGGCTCGGAGGAGTCGTTGTTGGCGGCGGCGGAGCGCGAGTATGGCGTTGAGAGGCGCTGCGAGTTGGATGTAGGCCGTTGTAAGTTCGGGCGTACCCATGGCGGAAGAGGAGACGGGGGTGTCGGGGAGGGAGAGGGAGAAGGAGATGGCGAGTGTGATGGTGGGTGTGAGACGGAGAGCATAGGCTCTTGAGCTTCGTGGTCGGGAGGCATATTGACGACGGTGTTTAGCTGTGTATAGAAATCGTATCGTATCGTATCGTTTTGGAAGTCCTTAGACTAGATATGTCGTCGAGGCGGAAGACGAGCTATAATTGGGAACCACCACAAGACCGATATGAATATGACTGGTTGTCGTTATGGTTATCCCGTACGGACTTAGAGATGTCAGCAGCAAGTCGAGATAGCTTCAAGTAGCACTAGCTAGCTAGCTATCCATATTTGCCGACATAGACGAGTTAGAAGAAGAACAATAATAACAACAGAAATCCTCTACTCTAATCTAGCGGTGGATAATGTTCAACAATCACAACCTCAAGTTTTGAATTCGGGAAGTGTAGGTAGATACTTAGGAGAAGACGATGACCTCCCCGAAGGACGTCAGGGACAGATTGTTGCTACCTAGCGCAGCGTCCACTGTATAACGTTTTCATGTAGTTAGGTACATCCAATATGTAGTGACATATATATTATAGGTTACATATGAAGGAACGGGCTGAAGAAGGAATACTAGCGTAACAAGAAAAAGAAAAAGGGAACCAATTGGAAGGGAACCATGCGTCGGGTACGAGGTACAATATCATGTACATACCATGTATTCCGTAACAGGGCTGAAATAGGGTGGGTTGTACATGCCTTAGGTTAGGTTAGAGGTAGGTAACATAAACTCAAAAGCTCAGCCACGATCGAATGGATAGTTAGTAATCGTGTCCTAGGTTAAAGAAGAAATAAGCAATTAAGTTCGAAGATGAGATGGTTTTGTTTTATATTAAGCCGTACAAGACTTAGTGTATTAAACATATTCTCGACGGAGACGTCGCAACTTGGCATCCCGTGTACATATCAAGTACCTTACACAAAGTACCTATCTTAAAAACTACATGTACATGTCTACATATCTCCATACATAGGTAGATAGCTGATTATCAATTACATCATGTCCCCGATTAACGTCGGATGTCGATCCGGCCATGGAACCGTAGCTCACGTCGTCCCGCGCGCCATGGTATTATGTAGCTGATCCCTGCTAATCATAGTCACATTTTGATATGAGATATTGTAGTAGAAGCCATGGACCCCCTAAATTAGCTAGCCAAGGACACTAATATAAGAAAGATTTCAACTTGCTTTATTCACTATATTATCTGCTACTAGTCACCGTCCCCTATTACTAGGTCCCTTAGGAGGATCGCGGACGAGGAGCCTAACCTTTCCATCCCCAATTTCAACTCCTTGGCTTAGGATATCAACGTCCTCTTTCGATTCTTCTTTCTCCTTCGAGCCCTCTCTTGTAAGAGACTTGTCCCAGCTTCTAGCGTCAATTCCAAGAATACCTCCCATGTTGTTCCGGTCCCCGGGAACCGAGAACTCACGGTACGCGTATCTCCACTCATTAAGGAAGTTCCTGATAGCCTTACCAACCTTGTCTTTCCCGTTCTTGCTGTGATGTCCGGTTCCGGTAATGGCGTATACAGGTCGAATTTCCTTACTGTTATCCAGGAGAACTCTCTCGAGATATTCGACAGCTTCGTCCGGGTGGAGGCCGTGTAGGTCTACAAAGATCTCTGCATTGGGTGAGTTTTGCTTGTTGCGCTCCTCATACAACTCCCGCGCAGCTTCCCGGTGAGCTTTTCGCATAAGGTCATTCTCGCTTTGACCTCGGAGACTAAGAGCCTTCGCCGCTCGAGCATCGTTGCGGTTCCAAGCCTGTGCGGCACTAAACCTAGGGTTAGCCTTATCAAATACATATATTAACATTGAGGATTCACGAACCTCTGTAAGAACTTGTTTCGGAGGCCACCATGCTTGATGGCCTCCTGACGAGCCTTTAGGTAAGCTTTGTTTGCCTTATCTCCCGTCTCTAGCCACGGAATGTGCTTAGGCATGGAGATCGCCTGAGCGGCGACACTGTTTTCTCCATTCTTGATATTGGTAGCACTTCCATTGCGGCCAAGTTTCTTCGATTCCTGCCGACTGGATCCGGATCCAGGTCCAGGAGATGGCGACATTTTTACGATATCGGCAAGAGAGCTTGGAGTAAAGTTCTCTTTATGACCATGGCCGTGTCCACCACGTTTGCCATGATGTTTTTTGTTAGGTTTAGCAGAAGCAGACCCAAGAGAGGGGAATGCGTCGTTATCGTCTATTGACGGTGCACTCATGCCTTCTTTCGCCTGATGCCGACTCCCAGGTCGTGAGCGAGAGTGAGAACTATCGTTGCCTCCGTAGGGCTTCAACCCGGGTGGGGGTGTTACTCCAGAGGTGGGATAATTAAAACTAGCAGCATAAGGATTCAATTCTGGAGTGCCTGGCCGTAGAGACGGGAATGAGCTAAAATCTTGAACCTGTAGATTCTGGCTTTTTTGTGGTGTGCCATTTTCATCCACGTTGAGGCGGTTTATGAGGTGAGCCGGGTCGTGAGAGAAAATACACGTGTCCCCAGCCAAGCAGTTGCCCGTAACCCAATACCTAGAGAGTTAATATATGGAAACGAACGGTAGAAGTGGTAAGCTAAACTTACTTGCAAAGATGATTGCTGAGATCATGACTGAATCGACAGTCTGCCCGGAGACATTGGCCAGTAGATAGGTAGAATTTGCAGATGATGCCAGCTTTCCCCTGAGCTGATGGGGTTGTAGGTCTCCCATCCGGTGTCATAGATTTGCCGATTAGTACACTCTTCGATTCAGGAGTAAGTCCTGCAACATTTGTTGAGTCTTGGCCCTGAGACTCCATTATAGATGCGATAGTAGCACTAAGATCGTAGCCATGCATAGAAAGAGCTAACTCGATCTCTTCATCAGTCTTGGATTGCCCGAGAATCGAACGCAGCATATCATATGGTGTCATATCCGTCTGCTGAGCAGACACGTATTCAGGAGCTGCGGCGTTGAGACCACTGGATGTGCCCACCGAGGAAGCAATACTGAGTGCATCATCACTCACTAACCAGTCAACATTTTCAGTCTGCAAGTCACCAAATATTTCTTGAGAGGGACTCGTATCATTGGCAAATTCGTAAGCATTTAGATTCGGGCTGTGGGGTATTATCGGCGCGGAGAACGCGAGTCGCGGAGATGGACGCGGAGATGAGAAGGGCGATACAGTAGAGGACTTGGTCCGGCTAAGGCTTGTCGGAACAAAGCCTGGCGGGGCCAGGGGGCTCACTCCTAATCGAGGAGAACCTGACAAAGGAGTCGACGAACCCCGCCACGAGGCTGGAGAAGGCCGGCGAAGGATGGTCTGTCGTATCGGGGGAGGTGAGGTCGCACTACCTCCCCCTTCGCGGTATCGCCATAGCACGTCGAGCACTGCATTCTCTAGAGACGAGCCGTTCAGAGGGGTCTCATTTTTCAGAAGCTCTTCGATCTTGTCGGTCTTGTCATCGTCGTCGAGGCTCGGGTCCTGCAGGACAGGAAGGCATATCTCGAACGTCTCGTCGGAAACCATGATTGAGCGATGTAGAGGAAGCGGGTTATGTGTGTAGATGCTCAGAGGTAAGCAACTAAGTAAGGGGGGTGAGTCAACACGGCCCGGGTGGACGTTGATAGAATATATCGAGTAGCGTCGGCCGTCAGGGGATACGGTTCGGCCGGCGAACGTCAAAGCGTAAGCAAAGCGGACTGGCGTATTAGAAAGTAAGAAATAAAGTATAGAATAAGCTATAGATTCCTCGATAGCGTATATATGAGGTAGGTAAGAGAGGAGGAGATAGGCGCAAGGAACGCGAAAAAAGGGCGGAGTGTTAACTAAAAGATGGGTGCCACAGAGAATAAGCGACTATTCGCATTCTGCAGATGCCGTGAGACGAGACTCGTGTTGAAGAAACAAAAATAAAGTCTTGGAAAATAAAAACGCTTGGTAAGTAAAATCAGGTGGAACGAATGTGTACGGTGTACGATATGTATGATATGTACGATTATACGATCACAAGCGGAAAGCCTTCTTGGGATGTAGCTCCCAAGATTGGCTGCTTGCCTCGAAGTTGCACCAAAGTTGCACCTACGTGTCGCGGAAACAGGGAGGGCTTCGCAGGAGAGACGTGGGAATCCAGTAAAAAGTTACAGGTAAGTGCTATGTAGGTGCTATGGACTTGCCTGGACAGGCTTGATGCAATCAATGTGGGGGGGCTCAGCTAGGTAATATTAACGACCGACAAACCATTACCCTATTATAAGGTACCCTATTATGAGGTACCTAAGGTAGTAAGCTACCACGCGAGGCGGTATATGTACCTACCTGTAAGCTATTGGAGGACAGCCCCGCCAAGTACATAATACTGTAGTGTAAGGTACTATTTATAACTCAAAATTCTACTCGGGGGCCGGGCTTTGTCTCAGACGCTCCGTACCGCTCCGTACCACTTTGTATGTAGATACATTATACCTAAGGTTAGGTATATACGCTGGTCTGGTACGATATATCGCGAAGTTGTCAAGTAACATACATGTAGTTATTACAGGCGAATGCACTTACACCGAAATATAATATCTAAATTTTCAATTAACATCTAAGTCATAAAATTTTATTTTAAGCCAACATTTTTTAGAGGTGACAGGACACCGCCTAGTAAGACTCGGCGAAAATAAGGCGGTATAAGTACCAGCTTGTCTTGCTCGATACCTATAAATTGCTGTGCTTATTCCGGAAACAAAGCCCACACCGGAGAAAGGTTTACAGGACGCAAGCCACCAACATTCTTTCCATTGCCCCTCGCCCTCAGCCGCTTTTACTATGAGAGGAAAAGCTGACCGGGGATGAATGCGGCCTTATCATCCACGGGTCAGGAACGCCTACATACATATGTAGGCCTTGTGATACCCCCACGTCTGGGTGAGAAGTTTCAAAATGGGGGGATTTTCTAACATCTTATTTCATCATCTATTCTAAGGTATCTCCTCGTCAGAGTCACCTCCAAAGCCGAAGCTGAAACCACCATCACCATTCTCATCGTCACTCTTCTTCCCGATAGCCTCCTCCCATTTTCTTTTCTTCGTCAGGCTCCTCTGTTCTAGCTCATCAAGAGCATCGTCAAGAAGTTTAGGATAATCGGTCTTAAGCCGCTCTACGAAGAGGTCATATGGGCTTTCGATGTTACTTTTGAAGCCGGTCACTTGGTCTGGCTTGTCTCTAAGAAAAGAGAGAACATCTGCTAGGTGTGACTTGGGCACGAAGTTTTGAGTGAGGGCTATGCCAGCCTCAAGATTCACAACCAAATGCCACCAGCCGCTAGGCACGTGTAAAATCTCTCCCGCTTTGCAAACGCCTTCCACGCAGCCCGGTACGGCACGTGCTTCCGTATGGAACTCGAGTAACCATTCAGCTATGCTCAGCGGGCTGGTGACTTCACTGCTATCCTCTGAAACGTAGACGCCAGGAACCTGCGCTGTTGGTGGAAACACTGGGGAACAACAGTTAGTCTCTGCCGTTCATGAAAGTATCGATAAATAAATACAAAGCAGCGAGGTCTCGCTAACTAACTGAAAGAGATAAAATTACATCCCAACGCAAGGGCAAGAGAAAGGGTTTGAAACAACCCTTAGGGTGTACGTACTAATCCAGTATTTCGATCCTTCCAAAACAGCATTCCAGGCGCTGGTGGCGTTTGGATCCTTGTGAAAGGTCGAACCGCTACGCTTAGGTCCGATAATGAGCCATCGATGAGCTGGTCTTTCTTCTCCAAGCAACTCGAATAAGTCCGGGCCAAAACACTCAGGAGGCCAGTATGCCGCATCTGCAACATGCCCGATCTTAATATTCATCTTCTCCGCGAAACCCTTATCGAATAGATATAGCGGGCTTTCATCTTCGTTATTAGACATATATTCATGATAAACCGAGAATGGCCAGTCCACAGCTTCTGCGCGGAACTCAACGGCCGAATACCCCTTATTTAGGTCCTGGATGTTCCAGTCACCGCATACAGGCCAGCGTTGAATGCAATCAGTCAATACGAATGGCTTACCGCTCCAGTTCTGCGCGAAGTCATCGTAGCCGAGTTGCTCTAACCTGCTGATTTGATTTGCCCGAGGAATACTAGATACATATTTCCCAAGAGCAATGTAGGTGCAAGCGAATGGCCTATGAATGACATCGGAAAAGACATTGCTACAGTCAATCCTAGGGCGCCATCCAGCGGGAGCTTTTAGAAGCGTGCCTCTCCATGAACCTTGCCAGGCGAGCGGTTGAGAACCAGTTCTTCATAATTCATAGGTAAATCAGTGAGATGACACCAAAGTAGATGGATTCTATCAAGGGGCTACTAATGACTGTCTGGGTTCACATGTCATAGTTTATGACTTACTCGAGAAATAATGATTTCCAAAGTTCGTCGAGGTGACAAAAGGCATAAAGAAAACGACAAGTAAACCCGACGTCTTTCAGTGTCTCGATATCAAAATATTCGAGTATCTGCAATATCATCTCATCCGGAAGTCGAGCCAAAAAACCGAGAGACTGCCGAGCTGTTGGACCAGATGCGAAGTATCGGTTCCCAAGAGGTTTGACGCCCATTGGATGAACTGGGATAAAATCTGACGGTATCCCAGCATTTGGCATGTGTAATTCGCCTTCATTTGTTGGTGCACTTCCACTAACACCTCCTCGACTGGTCCCTTCTGCTAGTAGCATAGTCACTGAAAGCGGTTATGTGAACTGCCCGTTTAGGCAAAGTTCTTCATGAAAGAAGGCTTATAATAATTTTGAATTTTGATGGTTGGAACGCTTCGCCACAAGATAATACCAATACCAATTCGGGTTCAATGAGTCACAAAAGTTCATGTGTCATACTTGTACATATTTTCCATGCAAAGTTGCTTAACTCTCAGGTTTTTCTGGGGGGGTCTTGTAACCTTCAGTTTTGTGGGGCCTCAGGTGCTGTATTAGCTTAGCATCGTAAGGTTAAAAAAATAAAAATAAAAATAAAAATTGGAAAAGTCTGGGAAATCACGCCGCTTGCCGCTACGTAGAACCTTCCAAGGTAACCATTCAGAGCCTAGAGCCCCGCATCAGGGTTTGGCCGACGTTTACCCCCACTCAAATTTTTTTTTTACTTACCTCTTTACATCTACCTCATTGATCTTGGGCTTTTCCTCCCACCTTCGATTTTTCCAAATCGTCACAGATTAAATAAACAACCACAACGAAAAGAAATATCATCAGCTGGACTTTATTACTCTCTATTAACGAGAGTATTTACGCCCACTTCTTTTTACGTATTTAATTTCTACGCGGGACGACTTGCCAAAGTGCAAAGTTCGTGCGCCCATTTCTTACTTGACCCCACCAAGATCGCCGCTCCCAACCAACTCCTTGAATTCTAAGCTGTGCTTGGAATTCGAGAAGTCGCGTCCATACATCTACAATCATGGCTACCGACAAGGGGCTCGAGGATATCGAGCAATCCCAGATCGAGTCTAACTATGACGAGACTGTCGACTCCTTCGATGAGATGAACCTCAAGGCCGAGTTGCTACGAGGTAAGAAACGCCAACTTCGAGACCACAAAAAAAATTTGCGGTGAACTAATAGTGTTTCAAAGGTGTCTATGCTTATGGATTCGAGCGTCCTTCTGCTATTCAGCAGCGCGCGATCATGCCGGTAATCAAGGGTATGTTTCCACCTCCCTATTTCTACTTTAATATTATATGCGCAAAATATTAACCCCATCCCCACGATAGGTCACGATGTAATTGCGCAGGCCCAGTCTGGTACTGGCAAGACCGCTACTTTCTCTATCTCCGTTCTCCAGAAGATCGACCCGAACGTCAAGCAGTGCCAGGCCCTTATTCTGGCTCCTACCCGTGAGCTGGCTCAACAGATTCAGAAGGTCGTTGTCGCTATTGGCGACTTCATGAGCATTGAGTGCCATGCCTGCATCGGCGGAACTAGCGTCCGTGATGACATGAAGGCCCTTCAGGAAGGCCCCCAGGTCGTTGTCGGCACTCCCGGCCGTGTCCAGGATATGATTCAGCGACGATTCCTCAAGACTGACGGCATGAAGATGTTCGTTCTTGACGAAGCCGATGAGATGCTTTCTGTGAGTAACGCCGTTTCCCCTCTTTATCTACCCAACGACGCTAATAATTATCGTATAGCGTGGTTTCACCGAGCAAATCTACGATATCTTCCAACTTCTTCCTCAGTCCACCCAGGTCGTTCTTCTATCTGCCACCATGCCCCAGGATGTTCTTGAGGTCACAACCAAGTTCATGCGAGACCCCGTCCGCATTCTCGTCAAGAAGGACGAGCTTACCCTTGAGGGTATCAAGCAATTCTACATTGCTGTCGAGAAGGAGGAGTGGAAGCTCGACACTCTCTCCGATCTCTACGAGACCGTCACCATCACGCAGGCAGTTATCTTCTGCAACACCCGTAGAAAGGTTGACTGGCTTACTGATAAGCTCACTGCCCGTGACTTCACTGTGTCGGCTATGCACGGTGACATGGACCAGGCCCAGCGTGATCTTATTATGAAGGAGTTCCGATCCGGTTCTTCTCGTGTTCTGATCGCCACTGATCTTCTGGCCCGTGGTATCGACGTCCAGCAGGTGTCTCTAGTCATCAACTACGATCTCCCTGCTAACCGTGAGAACTACATCCACCGTATCGGTCGTGGTGGTCGATTCGGCCGAAAGGGTGTTGCCATCAACTTCGTTACCGCTGAGGACGTCCGAATGATGCGTGAGATCGAGCAGTTCTACAGCACCCAGATCGAGGAGATGCCGATGAACGTGGCCGACCTCATCTAAGCAACGTATTCTTATTCATACTCAACAAGGCTAGTCTGTCTAACATTCAGAGTGGAGATAGAGTGGTGCGCGGTTCGAGGGGTGACCAAGAGGTCCCGTAGAATACATGGGTGGAGTGGCGATGATGCTCTTATCCGGCATATTTCATTTTTCTATTAGCACGTCTCATGGATGGGCCGTGGTCGGTACTGGAGGGAAAAGAAGCATCTAGGCATTTGCGGCTAGGCATCTAGCACCTAATACTGGTAATGCATATCGCCTGACGGTGGGAGGCCGTAGTGGACCAGGCTACTGCTTATTTCCGCGTTGTAATGTACCTAGGTCGCTGATGCTTTCCTAAATAAACGTTCTGAATTTGCCAGTTAAAACTGTTATGCAATATATGTCGTGAGTTGTAAAGAACCTGTCGAGTCGTTATTTGAGAGTAAGATGTCGTATTATTACCTACCCATGTACCATCTTAACATATCAAGTTTGTAGCTAACTCAATATCAAGACAATTACTTTGAGTACATAAATTTCTTAATTATCTCCATTTATAGGTAAGTACCTAGGTATCTATCCATATCGTCAAATGTGGTTAATATTCTAGGAAGGAGGGAGCGAGGAGGGTTATATAATGTGCTTTCCTAGAAAGCACAACCATTAGATAAGACTGTTTTTTGGTTGAACCAACACAAACTTTCCTATTTCCTCCCAATCTCTTATTTATTTCAACACTTAGAGTCATATAATTACTCATACTGTGATCGTTTATCCATAATGCTAATGACGCACTCAGATGCTACTATAAGACCTCACATATGTATTCCACATCGGAGTTACTATCGTTCTCTAGTATCAGTGGGTGTAGCTGCACTTGCGTAGCTGGCCAGGACGCCTTATTATAGAGGTCCAAGGTTTACAGGTTATCTTACTCATTACGACTGTTTTACCAATACATAGCCTCCCATATTGCTCATTTGTAGTATACCTGTATCAATCTCATACCACAACATGCATACCGAAGAAGAAACGAAGAAGCTTGCCAGTATTGCTAAGCTCGAGGATAAACTTCAACAGCCCGGAAACCAATTGAACGCCTTAAGACTTCTACAAGCACTTACAGTAAAGGAGGTCTACGAAGCTAAGAGGCAATTAGAATTGATCGAAGAAAGGTTCTGCAAGCTCCAAGAAGCCAGCGTCACAGAAGGTAGTCGTAATGAAGGTTTCGAAAAACAACTAGACGAGCTTCGAAAGGATAAAGAAGGACTTCGTTCACTTATATCCGAAGCAGATGCGACTACTCAGAATACTAAAGACAGCCTTGAGAGCCTCCGCACGAAGGTTAGTGACGAATATTTTAAACTGACTGCGGACAATGCCAGGTTTGGGAAGGACATCAAGACTTTGAACAAGCAGATTGATCGTCACCAAGAGCAACTATCCACCGTCGAGAGTGCCCTTGAAGGTTTTCGTTCAAAGCTACCCAAGCCTCAGGATATCGCCACACTAAACGACACTCTAGCTCGCCTGGAACCCATGGTGAGATCCATGTACGACAAGATAGACAAAGTCTCTACACTCACCCTCGAGGAAAAGGAGGCGTTGGCAGAGGCTATCAGCAATCAAGCCCGGGTCCGTAACTTTCTAGACACTTTCGTTCCTAAACAGGAGGACTTCTTCCAGTTTCTCGAGAAGCTCCGCGAAGCGAACTCCCAAGCGGTATCATCTGGTAAGAACTCACTATATAAGTATCTATGTAGCTACTAACCTGACTATCTAAGAATCCTTCTTACAAGGAGCCGTAAACGAAGGCAGTTTCAACCATCTCTCCAACCCCCCGTCATCGGGACCACAACCACCCCTGAAAGCGGTCCAGATGCTCGAGCAGTACAACCACTTTAGCAACTCGTACCGCATCAAGCGCCCGAAGAGTGAGACCAAGTTCATCAGACAGTATCTCAAAAAGATAGATCACAAGGCCGCCTGGTACATCCAGATGAAACTTCAGCAAGAATATCCCGACCTAGTTGAACCACTCCGACACGCTGAGACGAGTAACAAGAAGGCCATGATGATTTTTGTCGATATTAGTAAGCTGCGTTGGGATCATGTCAAGATCGTAATGCGCAGGATTAATGGAAAGGAGTTATTTGGCCTCTTGGAGGCTGAGTAGGGGGGTTTGGCACGTCTGCGTCGAGTAAAGGGTTCAGAACTGTGGCGATGTAATCAAGATTTGCTATAAACTTCTCTATATGTAGCTGTGCTATTCGGTCGAGTATAGATCTTGTAATTATTTAGAACCCCCACCACTGTCGTTAGTTAGTTAGTTACTAGATAACTGCCTTGACAGTCAGATATAAAAGCTATGTCCATGATAGAAAAAATCATTTGCACAATCTCGTCTCTTAATACTTAGCTATTTTGCTCTACCGGGTTACCAATTTTATCATGATACAACGATACGTGCCAAAATAACTCATCAGATACTAAGATCCTCCGTGTCACCAGCCAGTCCTGTAGTGTCCAGGCCAGTCCACTTGTTAATCCAGCCCAGTACTTCCTTATGCCAAACAAGCGAGTTCTCGGGCTTCAACACCCACTAATTCACGGCAGCAGTTAGTAATCGCCCTATTACGTCGGATGTGCTAGTATTCCGGGGAAAAGACTTACGTGGTTCTCATCAGGGAATATCAAAATGCGACTCGGGATGTTGTGAGTCTGAAGGGCTGTTCACGCAATACGTTAGTATACTTTAACCAATATACCCTTCCTCCTAACCCCACCCCCCTCCCTTTATAGCAGAGAGTTAATACGTACTATTAAAAGCAGCCAGCCCCTCCGAAATCGGCAACCGGTAATCGAGCTCCGAGTGTATGACGAGCTGGGGGGTAGCCCAGTTCGCGGCGGAGGCGGCGGGGTCCCAGCGGGCGTAGCCGTCGCGGTTCTCCCAGAGGGTGCCGCCGAAGTCGTGGGATGGGAAGAAGAGCTCTTCTGTCGACCAGTTGCTCATGGTGCTGAAGATGCCGTCGTGGCATACTAGGGCTTTGAATTTTCGGCCTAGGGGGTGGCCTTGGATCCAATCTGGGTTGGGGACGAGGGGTTAGTATTGTGAAGGGGGGGGAGGGTTAGGTGGCTTACTGATCATGTATCCGCCGTAGGAGGCGCCTAGGGCCACGGCGTTGTTCGTGTCGATGTAAGGGATGTTATCTGAGATGTGCTCGAAGCAGTTTACCACTATAAGCGTCTTTAGTCAGTTGTATGTTTCCAAGATAGACGTATTGAAAAAATGGCTTCTACGTGTACTCACGATCATTATACGGCCGTCCACCCCAATCCTGCGCAATCCCATCAGTGAACTTCTGCCCGTACCCAGTACTGCCCGTCGGATTCGGCATAACCGCAACGTAGCCCTGCTCTGCGAACACAGCCGGATTCCACCTCGTGCTCCAGCTCTGCCCCCAAGCGCCCTGCGGTCCTCCGTGGATAAGGAACGCTAACGGATACTTCTTGCTAGGGTCGAAGTTGGACGGCTTCACGACTAAGGCGTGGACTTGGTAATCGCCCGCGCCCTTGAACCAGAACTCGTCGACTTGGCTCTTCGTCAGGCCGAACGATTTCCCTTCCTTGGAGCTCGATGAGATGAGGCCTAGCTCCTTGGACTCGGGGTCGATGATGGAGTAGGAGGAGTTGTCGATGAGCGAGTTGGATGTGAGGAAGAGACTTCCGTCGCTCTGGGATAAGTTGTGGAAGTCAGTAACTGCACCGTCTTTGGTCAGGGGTTGTGGTAGCTCCTTGGCCTCTAAGGGGCTCGAAGGCAGTTTGAATAGGATCTGTCGGCCCTCCTTTTCGGCTGTCACGTATAGTTCCTTGTCGTCGTTGCTCCACACAATGCCTTCCGGCCGTAGGTCCCAGCCGCCCTCGCCATCTTCGGTCTTATAAAACTCCTGCACGTTGCTTAGGTCTTTGATGTCGGGGATCAGTAATAGACGCCACTTGTCAGACTCGTACTGCCGATTCCTCATGCGCTTAAACGCAACCTTGGTACCATCGTGCGAGAACACCGGAACACCTGCGTAGCCTTGTAGCGCTCCTGTCTTAACGATTTGGGGTTGAGGGGGGTTTGCCTCGGTGAAAGTCTTGAGCGGCACGTAGTAGAGGTCGGTCTTGGTCCACAACGCAGGGTTCAGCTCCGGGTCCTTGGATACGAAAACTATTCCCTCTTTCCCGATATCATAATCACTGGCATCTCCGAAAGGCGGAACCGGGCACTCAAGTTTTGTACCTGCTAGAGCATTTATTAGGTTTCGATCCCGCAAGCTCCAGTATTTCCCCTCTTTCTTCAGTGCGCCGTAGAAGAGCCCCTGTCTGTGTTTAGAGACGTACGAATCCCAGTGTCGTACAAATAGACTGGTATAAACTTTGCCGGATGATAGGGGCTTCTTCTCATCTTCCGAGTTCAATAGCTTTCCTGACGATGTAGTAGGAGCCGTGGCGGCGAATGCTACGGTACCATTACCGATATCCTTCGCCTTGATATTGGATATCGAGGTGTTGAAGATGGCAACCTCATATGGCCTAAGTGCACTTGTGAGTATCCTATTCTTAGTAGTTATTAGAGATTTATATAAGAATGAATATTTACTCTGAGCCCGGCTGAGTTGCATCTGCTACAAGGAGAGACGTTTTGTTGTCATCATTCTTTATGAAAATGAATTCAGTTTCGGAAATCCAGGTTGGCTCGGTTAAAGTCGAGTTGTCAAATAATTGAGTCGACTGACGAGATTTGATATCTAGAACCTTGATGGCATAGTCTTTGGAGTGAGTCTCGAAAGAGTATTGAGAGACTAAGAAATTATTAGTTCTATTTCATGATTAACTAGGACTTGTGTAGTTAGGGATATTACCAGCAAATAAAGCGAGGGTGCCGGTGCTGTTAGGTACGGCGGAACTACGACGAGGGGCAGAGAGAAGCACCTCGGGAGTAAATTTGGTAGCCATAACCGTCATCGTGGATGAGAGTCTCGGATGATGACTTGGAGCGGGGGGGATTATTTCAATATGAAATAAGTTTAAGTTACTTTCAAGCACAAGACAACCTTCTTTAACAAATCATTACAATGTGCAGTTAGGTATTAGGTATATGTATTTCGTACTTAGGCTCCGGTTCATCAAGGTGTGTTCACTATGATTGGCACTTACAAGTGGGTAGGACCTTAGTTATGGAGATACTCAAACTAATTGTTTGTTCGACTTTCCCCCGCACGTAGGAACGAGTTACCTACTCTTTTAATTGCATAGTATTGCATAGTATTGCGTGATTCATAACACGTCTTTAAGTCTCGTTATTCAAGTCTATCCATATATCCAAGACATCGACGTCGACAATGAATTATACTTGGGTACTCATCACTAACCTAGTTACTATAGTTATATATTTCTCTCTTTAGGTTAAACAAGTATACTTTTATAAGTTTATACCTTCGCAACCATAACCAGAGGCAATAATATCAACATCATGGTATTGTCTCAACTCAAATTCAACCTTGGTCTACTATTCGTAAACATAGATACTATCGGGTATCTCGACAGAAAATATAACGGCGCGGACCGTGAATCCCATCTCTTAAAAAAAGGACGTAAACATGCTTTTGCTATATTCCTAATAAACGTCTTGCCTAATAAACCAACGCCGTTAAACTAGCCGTATGCCTGTCCCTCATGAACGCCGAAACCACACTAGATAATGCACAACACTGAACATATGTATTAAACTTGCAATGGTCGAGGTGGTGGTCATTTTCGTGAGGCACCAAAATGCGTTCTGACCTTTTTAGCTTCGCGGGAGTCGGTCTCGCTGTCCTCTACGTCTGCATCCTTGTCCTTCTTCTGAGTTCTCTTCTTGCCGGCCTTCCCAACTTTTCCAGAGCCCTTCTCGGTCGCGGACGTAGGCGTCGGCTGGTTCGATCCACTGTCCTTCTCCCTGTTTGCAAATGTTGTAGAGACGGGGGTGGGTGCGGCTGGTGTCGAGGTTGCAGACGGGGCTTCCGTATTATCGGGCTAGAAGGAGGTAATAATGTTAGAATTAATTAAATCGATGCATAAATAAGCGCGAGAGATGGCAAAGACGTACGTGAAGGCTATTGTAGGAAATCGAAGATCGCGACCAGATATAATCCTCGTCCTTCAGCTCTCCTTGCTTGCGCTGGGCAGCAGAACTAGTCCCCTTGATGTAGTTATCGAAGCCCTTGACGATGTTGCCGATGCGGGTGTTGCTTAGGTATTTGGCCTCGAGATCGACGATACTCTGCTCAAGTTGTGACTATCATACCAACTTTAGCAACCGTCCCCCCTCAAATAGTGCCGGTAAACCCAAAGCGACTCACCAGCTGGCGCTCTTGCTGTTTCCGCTTACCTAGAAGCTCCTTGAGATTCTGCCGCTGTTTATTGTATTCCGCGACGGCAGCTTGCCGGTCACCGGTGGCAGCTCCGCCGGTTCCGGGTTGGACATTTTCGGTCATTGCGATCTTGGGTTGGCGACGCCGTTGAAATGGAGAGGGTTAAGTTACAAAAGGTTGAACTTTAGATCTTCCTCTTGTCATTCGAAAACGCGTATTGGCTCGAGCACTCAGCCTTCCCACTTGATTATAAACTATTCCCATAAGAGTTTAACTCCTTTTTGTTTAGGTTAGCAACGGACCACTGCGTCACTAGCCTATCATTCTTACCTTATTTGGCTAGTGGATATCCGGGGCTGCATTGGCATATTTGTCTCCACTATTTTATTTATTGAGGTACCTAAGTATCTTCTACCCAAACATCACTTATAAACTACACATATCATAGGACTTGTCATCCTAGAAGAATAATTTGAGATAGATTCTATAGGACATTGTTTTATTATTTAATAATATGTGCTAAATACTTCCAATGTGCGGTGACGAGATGTCTTGTCTAGGTATTTATTCGTAAAGTATTCCATACTAACTTCCTTGATGTGGTCCTGTTGGCATACGTACGAAACAGGGAAGAGATGATTGCTTTCGAGATTTCTGCTCTTAATATACTTCCCTTGGCTTAGAGATCTATGTTTCCCCCTGCACTATCCCATACGACAGTAGAAATAACTTACTGAGTTTATGTAGTAACTTATATGTCAACCTGGTTGGGTATTTATTTCATCCAACTTACCTAGAAGCTAATATGATAACGACGTCTGCAACTATTACATTAGCAATGTTTTAATACACCACCGCCAAATCAACAAACCAGACTAGGATATAATGCTGCTCCCCTAACATCGGAAACAATGGTATGCACGGAATCTAAAATCGGGGTTTGGTAGTAAGTCTATTGCCTGATCATCTATCTGCTACATGATAGCCGTACTTCATGAGTTCAAACGCAAAGCATTTTTGTGACTAACCTCGAAAGCCAATTACGAAAATAAAAAACAGCCGAACCCAACATCCACGGGTTATCAAGTCTCTTCTTAAGATGACCGAGTCTGCAAATCCTGCGAGTCTGAGAAGATTAGCCTGACCCCTTGACGTTGTCTCTACTTGAGGTGCTTCTCATCTTCTTTATGCGCTCCTTCAGAAGCTTTTCTCGTAGCTCATTGGCCTGCTGTACTGGGGACTTGGTCTGAAGAATACGAGAGTCAGTTCTCGGTCTAACTGTATAACGTGATACGAACTCCCTAAGAAGAAGGACGAACCTCATCGGCTGTCGAGGCCGCGCGGTGTCTAGGGGATCTGGGTTTGTCATCTTCCGAAACATCAGCTGATCTGTTACGGGTGCGGGGGGAATCAGCAGAGTCTCTCCGCTTTCTCGAAGGGATGTCTCTAGCTTTGCTATCCTGTCCGTTTCTTCGTGGGCTTCTCCGCCGTGGTCGCCTAGTCTCCTCATCAGACTCTGATTTACTTGGACTTCGCGTTAGGGTTCGCCTTAGTCTCCCACGGTGGCTAGGCGAGGGGCTACGACTGATAAGTTCCCGGACCGGTCTTCGTCTCGGGCTGCGACTGCGTGAGTAGGAGGATGAGCGAGAACGACTCAGCCGCCTACTGTCACGGCGTGGTGGAGACCTCGAGCGACTGAGCGAGTCTGAGTATCTGCGTCTCTTAGGTGCTGGTGAGCGAGATCGACTACCACCGGATCTACTGGCGCTTGCCGGCGAAGATGTATTTCTTCTGCGACCGTCTCTACGGGGCCTATAACCTCTCGTTCGCCCTGTAGACCGATCTCGCTTTCCTGAAGCTCTATGGCGAGGTGGCGATCGACGCCCCCTGGAACGGTGACGAGGTGGGGTAGGTGATCGATGAGTAACTCGCCGGCTACGCCCACTAGTCGTGCTAGATGATCGGGAACGAGATACAGAGCCTCTGGACTCGGGACTCACGGAGCGGGATATAGAGCGTCCACGTCGAACCTCCTGCCTGTTTCCACGTCGGCTTGGGGGTACATAACGATCACGGTTGTTATGATATGAGTCCCGCTCTCGTCGTGGTGGCGAGGGAGATCGGTCACCACCTCGGCCAAAGCCTCTACCGCGACCACCGCCAAAAGCTCGATCACCACCACCACGTCTCCCACCACGCCAATTATCGCCCCGTCCGCCACGAAAACCACGGTCGCGTCGCTCTCGATCTCGTACATCTGATAACTCACGGTCGCGACGCTCCTGGGTCTCTCGTCGAATTCGAGATTCTTCAGCAGCCTTGTCTGCATCGATCTAATAATAGTTAGCACACCCCAGATCCATTGAGTATGGGATAAAAACAGTACCTTCTCCTGAATGAGTTCTAGCTTCTTTGCTTCCAGAAGCTCCTTGGGGACGCCCTGGGGGCTAGATTGGGCGCTCAAGCAGAGGTTCCAGAGATCTTTACAGAAAGATGCAGTATCTTTATCGAGGAAACCGGTAAGCTGTATTTGCATGGATTTGATATCAGGCTATAGTATACAATGTTAGCAAGATCAACGATGCTAGCCTTGCAGCATAAGTGCACCTACATATCGGGAACCTTCGATTAAGTTAAAGCATAGCTCAGTGACGACATCATCTTCAGATCCTAATATCTCAGATATCTTGCTGGCAATCCATCTGAGAAAATTACGGTTAGCTGTTGGGTTGCTCAAGTACGCGTTGTTAGGGAGACGAACTTCTTCATGACCTGCAGATTGACCTTTTGCATGTCAACCTTCTGATTAAATTCGGGAGGGAACTTTGTCGCTCGTAAGAGCTTCGCATCTACGCTGCTTGCCATGGTCCGCTGTTGGTGGCTGCAGCTGCGAGGCGTCTATTTGCGAAGCGTCGTCTGTTCAGGTGTTAATACGGGAAATAAAGATGGAAGAATTGAATGCAGGACTAAAAATGACGTCTGGGGAAAACGCCGTATGGCTGGTCTAGGCTCTAGCGTTTCACTTATCGGGTCAAGGGATTTGAGAGCCCGAGCGGCAGTGCAGTGCAGTGCAGTGCTAACTAACAATTTACGCGCGAATAGCTTTCGGCTGTGGACAGCTGCTAGCAATAACTCGAAACGTTGTGAAACCTATGTGTGCTCACCTAAAAATACTAATATCATTCCACTCTCTATAGTAGCTTTTTTATATAATAAGTGAACATTAATAGTGATGGCTACTTTTAACATTAGGTAGGTAATTTGCCGCAGCATCGGTATCTAGGTAGCTAATACATATATATCAAATATATATTCATTATGATTATAAGAAATCTTACTCTCAATCATCATGTATTTGAAAATAGGTAAATATTTCACAAAATATCACCCGTATAACTCAACTATTATACCTATAAGTAACTTACTTAAACCTGTATTTTTTCAAACACTCGTCATAAACACCCGTTATAAATTAGCCTTAGTGCATATAGGCCATTAAAAAACCTTAATCCAGCACCCACCCACCTGCCTCAACGGTCCTTTACCCCAAAGCTAATTGGCCAATTCAGCTCTTTTATTTCTTTTTAGAAGCAAAGACAGGGCGGGACGGAAGGGGAAGGCAAAGACAGGCAGGGGGGCCGGCGAGCGCGGAAGCAAAGGGCGGAGCAAGAACGAAGAAGGAACCAGACAAGAAAAGGGCGCCGAAAAAGAGAAGAAAAGCAAGGGACAGAAAGAAACCAAGAAAGACCACCGGGAAGGGAGAGGAAAAGGAAGAGGAGGGGGAAGAAAGGGAGAAGGGAGAGAAGGAGAGGGAAGGAAAGGGAAAGAAGAAAGAAAAGAAAAGAAAAGAAAAGAAAAGAAAGAAAGAAAGAAAAAGGAAGGGAGGGAGAAGGAAAGGGAAGAGAAAGGGAGAGAGGGAAGGAAAAGAAGAAGAGAAAGGGGAAAGGGAGGAAGGGAAGGAAGGAGAGGAAGGGAAGGAGGAAGGGGAGGAGGGGAGAAAGGAGGAAAAAAAGAGAGAAAGGGGGAGGAGGAGGAAAGGAAAAGGAGGAAAAGGAGGAAAAAAACGGGAGAAAGGAGGAGGAAGAAGGGGAGAAGGGGAGAAGGGGGAAAAAGGAAAGAAGAGGAGGGGGGAGGAAGAGGAAAAGGAAGAAGAAAGGGAGGAGAGGGAGGAGAGAGAGGACGGGAGGAAAACGGGGAGAGGAGGAAAAGGAGGAGGGAGGAAGGGAGGAGAGGGAAGGAAGGGGAGGAAGGGGAAAGGAAGAGAAGGAAAGGAAGAAGAAGAAGGGGGGAGGGGGGAAGGGGAGGGGAGACGGGGAGGAAGAGGAGGGAAAGGGGAGAGGGAAGAGGAAAAGGGGAGGAGAGAAGAAGAGGGAAGAAGGAGGAGAAGGAAGGGAGGGGAAAAGGGAAGGGGAAAAGGGGAACGAGAGGAAAGGAGAGGGGGGAAAAGGAAGAAAAGCAAGGGGAGGGAAAGGGGAGGAGAAGAGGGGAAAAAAAGAACGGGGGAAAAGAGAGGGGGAGCGGGAGAAGGGGAAAAGAGGGGAAAAGGGGAAAGGGGGAAAGGGGGGACGGGAGGGGGAAGGAAAGGGAAGGGAGGAGGAAAAGAAAACGAGGAAGAGGGGGAAAGAACCAGGGGAAAAAGGGAGAAGGGAAGGAAAGGGAAGGGAGGGGGGGAAAGAGAAGAAGGGAAAAAAAACAGAGGGAGAAAAGAAAGGGGAGGAGGGAGAAAGAAAGGGGGAGAAAGGAAGGAAAGAAGAGGAGGAGAAGAGGAAAGGAAAGAAGGGGAAGAGAGGAAGGGAGAGGAGGAGGAGAGGGAGGGGAAAAGGGGAAAAAAGAGAGAAGAGAAGAGAGGAGAAAAGAGGCGGAGGGAAGAAGAGGGAAAAAAAACGGGAAAGGGAACGAGGGAAAACCGGAAGGGAGAGAGAGGGGAGAAGGAAGAGAAAGGGAGAGAGGAAAGGAGAGAGAGAGGAAAAGAGAAGAGGAAGAGGGAAGAGAAGAGGGGAAGAGGGAGAGACGAGGGGAAAGGAAGGAAGGACGAGAAGGGGAGAAGGAGAGAGGGAAAAGAGAAGAAAGGGAGAAGAGGAAGCGCAGGAAAAAAAAGAAGAGGAAAGGAAAGAAGGAAGAAAGAGGAGAGAAAAAAGGAAGGAAGAAAAAAAAGGGGAAAAAGAGAAAGAGGGGAAAAAAAAAAAGAGAAAAGGGAGAAAAGAAGGAAAAAAGAAAGGGAGAGAGGGGAGCACGGGGGGAAGGAAAGAAAGAAGAAAGGAAGAAAAAAGGGAGGGGAAGAGAGAAAGGGGAGAAGGAAGGAAGGGGAGGGAAAAGAGGAGAAAAGGGGGGAAGAGGAAAAAGGAAAAAGAGGAGAAGGAGAGAGAGGCGGAGGGAAAAGAAGGAGAGGAGAAGAGGGGAGGAGAGGGAAAGGAAAAGAAGAAGGAAAGAAGAAAAAGAAAGAGGAAGAAAGGAGAGGGAAGAAGGGGGAAAGGGGAAAGGAAGGGAAGGGAGGGGGAAAAAAAAAAAGAGGAGGGAGAGAGGGAAGGAGGAAAAGGGCGGGGGGAAGAAAAGGGAGAGAAGGGAAAAGAGGAGGGGGAGAGGGACGGAAACAAGAACGGGGGAAAGGGGGAGAAAGGGGGGGGAAAGAGGAAACCAGGGGGGGAGAGGAAAAACGGGGGGGGAAAAGGAGAAAAAAAAAGGGGGAACGGGAAGAGGAAGAAGAGGGGGAGGAAGGGGGAAGGGAGGGGGAAGGGGGGGCAAAAGGGGGAGGAGGGGGAGGACGGGGAGAGGGGGAGGAGGAAGAAAGGGGGGAGAGAAAAAAAGAGGGAAAGGAAAGGAAGGAGGAGGGAAAAGGAGGGGAGGAGGAAGAAGAGAGGGGGGAGGAAGGGGAAAGAAGAAAGGAGGGAGGAGGACGAGGAAGGGAACCCAGGGGGGAAGAAGAGAAGAAAGAAGAGGGGGGAGAAGAGAGGAGAGAGAAGGAGGAGAAGAAGAAGAGAAAGAGGAAAGGAAGAAACGGGGGGAAAGAGGGGGAAAAAAGGAGGGAAGAGGAGAAGAAAGGGGGAAAGGGGAGAGGAGAGGGAGAAGGGAGGGAAAGAGGGGAAGGAGGAGAGAAAAGGAAGCGGAACCGGAGGGAAAAGAAAAGGAAAAAGAAAGAAAAAGGAAGAGAGAAGAAAAGAAGAGGAAGAAGAGGGAAGAAGAAGAGAGGAAAAGGAAGGAACCGAGAGGAGAGAGAAAGGAAGAGAAAAGAGAAAAGAAAAGGAGGAAAGAAAAGGAGGAAGAGGAGGGGAGAGAGAGGAGGAAAGAAGAAGAGGGGAAAGGGAGAGGAGGAGAGAGGAAGAGAGGAGGGAAAAGGGAAAAGAAAGAAAGGACCGGGGGAAGAGGAAAGGGAGAGGAAGGGGAGAAGGAAGAGGAGAAAGGGGGGGAGAGGAGGAGAAGGGGGGGAGGAAGAAGGAAAGAGGGAGAAGGGGGGGAGAGGGAGGGGGAAAAGGAGGAGGGAAGAGGGAAAAGAGGAGAAAAGAGAAGAAGAAGAGGGGGAGGAGAAAGGAGGAGAAAGAAGGAGGAGGAGGAAGAGGGAAAGGAAAGAAAGAGGAAGGGGAAGGGGAAGCGGAAGGGGAGAGAAAAGGGGAAAGGAGGAAAGGGAAAAGGAGGAGGGAAGAAAGAAGAAAGAAGAGGGAGAAGGAAAAAAGCGAGGGGAAGAAGGGGAAAAGAAGAGGAAAAGGAGAGGAGGGGAGAAAAGGAGGAATAGGGAACGGGAACCAAAGGAAAAGGGAAGGGAGAAGGATAAAGAGGAGGGAAAAGAATAAAGAAAGATAGAGGGGGAGGAGATAAGAGGAGAACCTTAAAGGCAAGGATATATATAAAAGGATTAACAATTATAAGTAATAGAAGTAGTAATTATTTGAAATAATTATATAAATAATTAATAAAATAATAATTTTTATTAAATTTACTTTTTTAAGTTTTTTATTAAGGTTTTAATAAATATATTAAATCTTATTAATTAACAATATTATAAAAAATTTTATTAATATTTTATATAATATAAATAGATTTATAAATTATATAAATAATAATGCCCTTTTTTTTAAAGTTTCTTTAAAACCTTTTTACAGGTAAAATTTAAAAACTTAATTAAGGAATTTAAACAATTTAAATTGAAAAAGTTAAATCAATAATATTAATTTAAAATCTATATAATAAATAAAGTTTAATTGGTAAAGTAATAATTTTAAAAGAATGTTAAATAATAAATAAAATAATTATTTATTATTTATAGATTATTATTATTTAAAAAGTTATAATAACTTTAAAATAAATATGTATAATTTATATTATATAAAAATTATAAATTATTAAAAAATAATGTTAGTTTAATATGAATTAAGTAGGTGGTGTTATATCGGCTTATTTCACGTGAAATTAATTTTGCTGTGTTTTAAAAGAATTTTACTGTGTAATTAAAGTTACTTATCAACAATTAAAAAAGTAACTTTAAACTATAGTAAAATTCTCCTAAAAACACATAAAATCAATTTCACGTGAAATAAGCCGATATGACACCACCCACCCAATTCATATTAAAATTAGCAGGGCGAACAAAGCGGGAAGGGGAGAGAAGGAGAAAGGAGAGAGAGCGAGGGGAAAACGAGGAGAACCGGGGAAAAGAAGAAGAAGAAGAAAGAAAGAAAGAAAGAAAAGAGAGCACGGAGGGAAGGAACGGGAAGAAGCCCCCCAAAGGGGAGAGAACCAGGGGAGGAAGGAAAACCCCAGGGGAGGAGAGAAAGCCGGAAAGGAAGAGGACCAANTAAAATAAATAAATTACCTTTTTAATTATTAAATTTATATTAATTTTATAATTAATATTATAAATTTTTTTATATTAT